TACCTACCTTACCCACTAGCCTAGCTTTGCATGGATTCTACTTTGCTGCTACAAAACTCAAGGCAAAGCTCAAGGCATCGTTACAACTATCGCAAAGATTCAAAGCACACTGCTTTCCAATCCAGGTCCAATCCAATAGACCAAAGCATAGGAAAACACACCGCTCAAGCCTTCACACATCCAAAGCCAGGAGCCCCCTGCTCAGAGACATCGCGAGAGACCGCATCTCCTACTCGTGATATAATATTCGACACGCTGTCCTCGGGGAAACTACCGCAAAACGAAACAATGTGCTTCTCCTCTCGCAGCGACGAACGGACCCCTCCGGCGCGGTATTCCTCATCTTATAACATGTCGTCGAGGACGAGCTCTTATCCGCGACGACACGCGGCGCATGGGGTTTATGTGGATGGTGGCGGTGGGGACTATAGTGGTGGGGGGCCTCATGGTGGTGGACATCATGGAGGAGGGGGACACCATGGAGGAGGGGGACACCATGGAGGAGGGGGACACCATGGTGGAGGAGGTTGTGGTGGCGGCGGAGGGCATAGTGGAGGTGGTGGTTGTGGAGGCGGTGGCGGAGGGTCTTGATTTCTCGAGGGAGGGTCACGACACATATTAGATAATTTACGGGGGGATTCTCCGTAGCGAGGGAGTGGGTGCGTGAGGCTAGAATATGGTTAGAAGATGAGCGTGGGAATGATTGATGTTGGACTCGAGGGCGTCGCGATTGTGATTTATTGCTAAGTATCCAACAAGCACTAAGATATCTATGCTAGAATACATGGTACAATTCAGTTAATCCCGCTGGAGCACCTCCTCCGTGGTCTGCACCAAGATCTCAAACGCCCGACGGATATACTGCTCCTCCGCGGCCGGGTTGGCGCTGACGACACGGATGACATACACCCCCGCGATGACCGACGACGTGATGAAGATCTCGCCGCGGGAGTTGATCAGCTCGTAGACCTCCTTGGTCAGCGCGTTGGACGCCTCGTCCGGCTGCAGCACGGACGCGCCCTCCGTCACCGCGGCCTTGGGGCTCTTGATGCGGAACACGGTGAGCGCGAACGCGGGCTCGGTGATCAGCTCGAACATGTCCGGGCGGCTGCGGATCAAGCCGGCGAACACCTCGCCGATCCCGATGGTCTTGCGGATGTAGTCCTTCATCCCGGTGAGGCCGTAGCTGCGCATCACGAACCAGATCTTCAGCGCCCGGAAGCGCCGGCCCAGGGACATGGACCAGTTGCGGTAGTCGGTCACCTTGCCGGAGTCGGAGTACTCGTTGCGAAGGTAGGCCGGGGTGATGTCCAGGGCGTTGGTGAGGTCGTACCGGTTGCGAACGAACAGGCAGCTATCATGCCGGGTGTCAACATAGCACTAAGCGAACAAGTCTTGGGACAACATACCTTGCATCGAAGTTGACCAGCAACCATTTGTGCATGTTCAAGTTGAAACTGTCCACGCCCTCCGCAAAGTCCTTGGCGATGTACTGCCACTCGTCCGCCACCAGGGCGGCGCCCGCATACGCCGCATCGATATGCACCCAGATCCGCTGCCAGTGGGGCTTCTCGCGCAGCACCGCCTTGATCTCCGCGAACCGATCCACGGCGCACGTGTTGGTCGTTCCGAACCCGAGAGTGATGAAGTAAGGCGTCAGCCCGTCCTTTTCGCACTGCTCGAGCACCTCGCGCAGCCCCGCCGCCGTCATCTCCAGGTTATCCTCCAGCCGAGCCGTAACGCTGCGGAAGCGGGTGCCGGCCAGCAGGGAGCCCTTGGCGGTGCTGCTGTGCGCCTGGTTGCTGGCCAGGGCGACCAGCCGGGGCCGCAGCTCCATCATGCGGTCCTCATATTCCACAGTATCCGGCTTGAGCCCCTCCGCGACAACCTGCTCCGTCACGCGCCGCTCGCGCGCCGCGATCATCATCGTCGCCACCGTGTCGCTGGCGGTCACCTGGATGACGCCGCCGCCGCGGTTCTCGGAGGTACTGAGAAAACACTCCGGCAGCGCCAAGGCCTTGGCCAGCCAGTCCATCACGATCGTCTCCAGCTCCGTGCAGGCCGGCGAGCAGAGCCAGTTGAACGCCGGCGCGGTGAACGCCGCCGAGTACATCTCCCCCAGGATACTAGGGTAGGTGACCCCCGCGGGGAAGAAGGCCATGAAGTTGGGCGACTGCCAGTGCGTGAGTCCCGGCTTGATCTTGTCCTCGATGTCCGCCTGGATCTGCGACCATTCTTCCGGCTGCTCCGGCGGGTTCTCGGGGATCAGGGGGCGGAGGTAGCCGGGTTCGACGGTGGGGAGGACACGCTGGGAGGGGAGGCCTTCGAAGTAGTTGATGACTGCTGGGATTAGCACTAAACTAGTTTTCCATGAATCCGGAAGACTGACTCTCATCAACCGCAGCATGAGCTGCTGTTCTGAACTGTTCGCGATCCATGTGCGGGGAAGGACTCGGCGCTGCGGAAGACGCCTCTCGAAGAGTACCGGAGGAAGGAAGGAGTATAACTCAATTTAGGTAGGATCACAAAGCAAGAAAGCGACAGACAGCCTCCAACAACCAAGAAAAAAAAGCCCAGATAATGTACAATGGCGATGAGACAAGAAAGATCCAGTGTAGCGAAGAAGAAAGAACAGCTTTTTTATCGATAAGCCTGTGGGGACTTTGTGTCTCTCGTCAGCGGCAGGGCGTGCGCGCGCGGCCATTCCGCCATTCCGCATTTCCGACGTTCCGAGGCCATGCGCTATCCCCACCTGAGTTTAGTGTCTTGAGCCATACAAATTGCCTGGAATATCCTTCAATACGCGATTCATAGAGGGCACACCTTATACTAGGTTATGCGCCAATAGGGCCTCCCAGAAGAATTGTTGCAGCAAGCGCTAGGAGGTGATCAAGTGCTGCGCGCCCTGTCATTGACGAGTGCCCCGCCCCCGCATTTCTCTTATCATCAGCGAAGCCGGAAAAGGTAGGCTAATTGATAGCAGGTATGATCCTGATTCAAACTAGGCGTATGCTGCGGTCAACAAGCGAAGCACGTCAGTTTGATTGCCTCCTGACTTCAGTCCTACACTTCTACACTGTTAGTCAATCATAATGTTGGGCTTTCTCATTACTTGTGCCTCTCATAATGAGAACTTCCTTCAGGAAATCACAGGTCGGTTTTCTTCCTCGATTTCTAGACAATGAGCCATGGCGGAGATCTTCTGGTATACATGCAATTTGAGCATCTCCGATATATTTGAGGGGGGACCTTTTTTAACACTTCAGCTGCTTACAATGAACTACGATTAAGATCCCGCAACATGTATATCAATCATACAACTTTCTGAGCATCTCCAGTACATACGACGGAGTTCTCATAGCGGGATGACATGGCTCTTATATATAAGACAGCCAACTCCTCATCGATGAAGTGATCTGACATTAACGCCTCAGTCAGTCAATAGATGCAAAGATTATTCCTTCTCATCAAGCTGACACCCAATCCGTTGCAAGAAAGGTGAGTTTGCAGAATGCCTACCCCTCCCAACACCCCATTTGTCCTCCACTGGCCGGGGTCTTTGCTCCCACCAGAGGATGTGGACTCCTCAGATGAAGACGATGTACTTTCTTCCGACTCCGATTCAGAGGCTGACACTGATTCAGAACCCTCCAATGATGAGGGTAACTGGCCCGAATACGGTTCCGACCTCCTAAGCCCGTTCGACGGGATCGTAGACACGCTCTGCTATAAGAGCGACGTAACTGTGATCATCCACAATGGCAGATGGCAGTATAAGATACTGTGCAGCTCGCGACACCTCGCGGAAGCCTCCCCATACTTCTATGCTCTGTTCGAGCCCAACTTCGAGGAAGGCATCCGGTTCAGAAAGAACGGCCATTTGACCCTTACTTACGACGACGTCAATCCTGCAGCGTTCTACACGGTCATGCAGGCCGTCCACGGTAGGTGGGCCAATATGCCGAGCGGAGGTATCGAAATGGCCTTGCTCAAGGATATTGCTCAAGTGGTTGACAAGTTCCATCTGTTTAGGCCCGTGATGCCGGTTGTTACCACCTGGGTGGAGAACATGTGGCCCGGCGACCCGGAGCCGTCCGACGCGCAGGTCATCGACTGGATGCTGTACATCATGTGGGTCTTCAACGTGCGTGACGGCTTCAAGGTAGCCACGGGCACGCTGATCATGCGACATCCGCACATGGTCCCGCCTCCCACCGCCGTGCTGCCGCTTCCGATCTATGAGAAGATCAACGTGGCTAGAAGCAACATGTTGCGGGAAATGCGCGTGGCGCTGCGGGACGAGATCCAACGCGTCCGAGGCTTCTGTAACCTGGCCGATCCCAAGGGCGACCAGCGGACCCTGATGTGGCGGAAGATCCTGCGCCTCGCGCGATATCCGCTGTGCACTGAAATGTCCCCTTCGAAACTCTTGCGACTGGTGCGCCAGGGGAAGCAATGCATCAAACGAACATATGACCGGTTACACCTCGGGGATAGACCAACACCACGGGCCTGCTCGTCGTATGGAGATCGGCTGGTGGAGACATTGGAGCAAGCTGTCGCAGATCCAGGACTGACGCTCGGCAACATCCGCCTAGATTCGGCCTGGAATCACCATTGGCCTTGGAATCCCCCTGCCGTGGATTTTGTTCATGTCGGCTGGCCTTACGAGATTGATGACTATGACGTCAACAATTGGGACTTCGAATATCTGAGAGATATGAAGGAGATGGGCAGACATTGGGTGGAACCACACACTGAAGAGTAATTTGCATATAGCCTAGGATGTCCAAGCGGATAGACCCTTATCGATGATATTATGGTATGCCGGTTTCCCCGCACTCACGTGCCTCCAGTTTGTAATCATGGTAGTTGAACAATGTCAACTTCGTAATTTTTCCAACCTTTCTTCCTTTCTCTTCTCCATTCGAAACATATTCCGACAAGAGAACCAACTCTACCCATCATGCCTGTCGCGAAGGCTATCGTTGACGACACCGTCCTTGCTGAGACCGCATCGTGGGAAACGGTCGAAGGCAACATTTATGTAGACTCTCAGTCCTGGTCATTTTGTTTGGCTATGCTCACATCCAGTAGTTTCCTTCCTCAGCAATCAAGGATGATTCTCTGTTTGTCCCGACTGATCTGTCTACGTTCTGTCCATGGAAAGGACATGCTTCGTACTATTCCGTTGTAGTGGGAGGTCTGTCATTGGAGCCTGCTTCTGCTTTCCAGAAAGTATGACTGACATCATGCATCATTCAGAAAAAACATATCCTAATGCAGCGTGGTATTATGCCAAGCCATACGACGCTGCCATGAATATCAAGGATCATGTGGCTTTCTGTGAGTTCACCGCATCAACTTTGGAGCTCGAAGCTGATGGATTGCCCCGGTCAAGACACTAGTAAGGTCAATGTGACGGTTGAAGACTAGCGGGTGATCATTAGCCAATTTGATAGTTGGCGCAACAGCTTGAAATTAGTGCTGGTTTCAAGTGTACAGACCATGAATTATGCCCTCTATGAATTGTAATTTCTGTGTATGACTTCGAAATGTCTCATGCGACAACGGACTCGAAAACGGGTCATCGAAACAGAGCCGTCCAAGCATCTAACAGTGACAAGTCCCATTTCGTCCATCTCCGACCATCATCAACTAAGAGCCAAAGGACGACTGCCAGGCAGGCTGGTATCCGTCAACTCATTAAGTAAATCCGTCCAGTCCGCAGACTCTAGCGTCATATTGTTACCGCTTTCCAGCATTTCTGACCAAATGTCTTCAAGTTGCCTATCAGGAGGCAAGTCTGCGGCTGTTGTATCTATTGTATCATCATGCACATCGATCGCCGTGGATGGTGTATTGTAAACACCCGTCATGGCTGTATTGATGCGCACTGGTTCTTTGACCAGTCGCGGTCCAAGCGGCGCATTGGATGGATTGACCTCGTGTTGTGCGGCGAATGATTGAGTGCTGCTCTTCCAATGTCTCTGTAGTACACTCATCATCGCATCTATACCTTCTCGTACCAGTGAAGACGACTCGTGTGCCTTGCTTAGCATGCGGCAGGCGTCGAGCACTTCCTCCTTCCTTCTTTCCGCCAGGATATCATCCCAGTTGAAGCAAGCATCCATCAAGAGGATCACAGTAGCCATGAACACATGGTGAGTGACAGACCAAACCACTGAGACGGGCGGATTATAGCCGAGGTCGCCTTCGTCTAAAATCTTCCTGATTTCGATTACTTTTCGAGCGGATTGGAGGCCGATGAGATGAGACCACGCAAAGGTGGGCTCACGCGCGCCACGGATGAAGTGATGCCGATGCAATCGGCACAGCCGAGAGAAGAAGCCTTGCTGTAGGACATACCTCTGCCATGCAATGGCGGGTCGCTCTTTATAGAGTGGCTCAAATCGGCGCTGGGAGCCCGGATCGAGGCGGAAGAATTCCGGGATCTCTGAGATCAGTTGATGGAATTTGCGATCCAGCTCAAGTATTTTGCTGTAGTCTAGCTCTAGACCATGAAGGTGATCGTGTGATGTCGCGTCAATGATTTCACGACATAGGGTTGCCAACTTGAGGCGCTGGAGCGCATAGGACATGTCTGTAGGTACGCAGCTGGGCAGTGACGTTACAGCACCTTCCTTCTCGATGAGCTCGTCGTCGGTATTCGATGGTTGTTGAACGTTCATATGATTCTCTTGTATCGAGTATGTCCATTCTTGGGGACCAGTCAAGTTACCAAGGAGCCTTGATCGAAATTCTCAGCGATGCAGTTATTTTAGTCACAGATCCAGTGAAGCTTACCAGTCATAAGATACCAAGTCCCACCAGAGCCGTCTTTTGAGTTCTACTTCTAAGCAGTCAAACCCAGTCGCTTCTCGTTCCTCTCGAACTCGCGGCGAATCGATGCAATGGAGCATCAGAATTTTAGCCTGGGTAATAATAGACCCCAGCGCGAAAAGTCCGCTGACTGTTGGCTGTATGTTCCAAACGTAGAGATTGTGCATGACGACCATGGTCGCTTGCAGCCCTTCTATCGTGGGAGATACGGTATAATCACCCTGGATCAGGGCCGCACCAGTCAGGTACGAAAACTCGCGACTGCAGGCCTCTGCATCGGCAGAACTCTCCAGGGACAGTTGCAGGTAAAGAGAGCTTGCCATTATGCTGAAGAGTAAAGCCAGATGATCGAGAATTATCGGTGATTCAACTTCAACCGAGCGATAGATGTCATCAACCTGGGATTTGACGCGACTTGGAATGATTATATGGTACAAGGGCCCGACGTAGTCGATATAGTATTGAAACAGTGACATTGCCTGGTCTCTATCGGGGAGGTACTCCCTCAAGCTAATTGTCGCTGGATTCTCTTTGGAAGCAGACCGGTCCTTGTACAAGTATGCGAGCGAAGATATGGAGGGACGAGCTTCCGGAGTTGGGACTGGGTTTCCAGTTCTTTGAGGCTCACGCAGCCCGTCGCGCAGCCAATCTGGAGTGGCTGTTGGAATCCTCGCGGCCATGTGGATATTTTCCAGCCAGTCAGCTGTTTGCATCAACTCCCTATTTTTCTTCGAGGCTAGAGTCTTTGTAGGTGAGAGAGTATGCTTGTCTTGCGGACTCTGAGGGAGCACAGGGCGATCATGGCTTGATGTCGGGGTCTCTCGGAGCCTGCTCTCTCTTGCGGTAGCCCCAGGTCGTTCATATCTACAGGTCAATCTGCGAAAGGAACAACTTGCACATGGCTGCTGTCGATCGCATTTGATTTTCTTTGTCCTGCATGATTCACAGGAGACAGGATCCTGGCGAGGCGTTCGCTTCGGCTGAAGATCGCGAGGTCCTGGTGCGGCCTTCCGCTTCATACTGAGGTTAGCTGTTAGGTCCGACTCAGATTGCGTCACACGACAAGGAAGTCACAGCTTCTGGTGTTAGTACGACAAGCTCATAGGAGCTCTGTGATCAAACATCAGAGCCTGAAACATCCGAGTGAGTAAAGGGCTAACAGCGGATGTGTAATTGGCAATAGGAAGTTGGGAGGCTGTCTATTTGGCGGCCCGCTCGGAGAGTCCGCGGAGAGTCCGGGCCCCGGAGCGGACCGTCCAGCACCTTTGCTGAGGAATAGCCGCCATTCATTCACAGTACTTGTGCTACAGACAGCCGTGCCAGCAAACAATCACAATCCACACGTCTCGGACGCTCCGGACGGAGAAAGTTCACATTAATTACTACTGCTCTCATCATGTTATAAAAGTATTCAACATGCCTACTATAGCGATGACTCTACACGAGCTCATATCCAAGACATCCACCACAATCAGCAGAAGCCGATTGACCTTCCACGATGGGTAGCTCCGATCAACCTTCGAAGCCCCAGAGCGAATACACGTGAGTCTCTCCTGACATTCAATCAGAGGCCCTGAGCACGCTGACAGTCTCAGACCCCGAGCATGTCTCATGCTTCTAGGGTCTTTTACTGGTGTCTTCTGCACAGTCGGCTTTGTGAACTCATTTGGCCTGTTCGAAGAGTACTACTCGAAGGCTCAGCTGGCGGATGAGTCCCAGTCTACCATTGCCTGGATCGGAGCACTGGCTGTGTTTTTTATCTTCTCTGTATCACTCGTATCGGGCCCATTGCTTGACACAATTGGGCCAAGGGTGCGTCTTTCTACAGCCAGATCACTGCCCAAAACCCGGCTGACTTGCGAACAGATACTCCTTTGCATGGGATCCTTCGGAACCGTCTTCTCGCTCATGATGACCTCTCTCTGCAAGGAACTCTACCAATTCATCCTCGCCCAAGGAATTCTTCTGGGAATCTCCCAATCACTTCTCACCTGCCCCATGATAGCCCTCGTGGGCCAGCACATCAAGGTCAATCGGGGTGCAGCAGTGGGGATCGTCATCTCCGGCTCCTCCCTCGGCGGCGTCATCTGGCCCATTGCAGTCAACAATCTCCTCCAAAACCCGCGGATTGGCTTCGGATGGACCATGCGCATCGTCGCATTCATCATGATCCCTCTTCTGATCGTCTCCTGTCTCTGCTGCCGACCCCCGGCCCATCCTCCCCTATCAATCACCACCACCACCACCACCACCACTCCTCAAACACGATCCTCGGCGCCCCTCGATACTGAAAAATCAAGCAGCCCCATCATCCCTCAAGAGCAGCACTCGCAAAAACCCTCCTCACACGAACCCCCCTCAATCCTCAAGAATCCCACCATGCACCTAACCTGCCTCGCCTTCTTCATGATCTACTTCGGCATGTTCTCCCCATTCTTCTACACAACCTCCTACGCCGTCGCGCAGGGCTTCTCCGCCAATCTCGCCTTCTACACCATCTCCATCATCAACGGCGCCTCCCTGTTCGGCCGGATCCTGCCAGGGATCCTGGCGGACCGGTACGGACGCTTCAACTGCTGCTTCGTGGCTACGTTCACATCGGGGATAATCGCCTTGTGTTGGACGAAGGTGACGTCCGTGGCGGGTCTGGTGATCTTCTCGGCTGCTTATGGGTTTTCCTCCGGGGTAGGCAGATCTCTGACTCGAACGCTGGGACACCAGCGACTAATGGAAACGTAAATCTTAGGCTATTCTGTCTCTTCAGCAGGCGTGTGCGCTGCAGCTGGCGACGTCGAAGAGTGTTGGTCTTGCGGTCGGGGTTGTGATGGCTGCTGCGTCTCTTTCGTAAGGATATTCTGTTCCCATTAACGGGGTGTGTCGGTTATGATGGCTAACTTGAGGTGATGCACAGTGCTATGGCCGGGATTCCGATTAGTGGGGAGCTTGCTCAGAAGTATGGCTATTTATCGTTGTCCATTTACTCGGGCGTGAGTCTTCTGGTGGGGAGTCTGCTGCTGTTGGTGGCGAGGGTGATGCAGAGTCGAGCGTTTTTCGCCGTGGTTTGATCGCCATAATCTGGTTGCGACTTTGAACTACATGCCACAAAGAAGTCGGCTATAGCGCGATATATCTTGATTATAGACCCCGCTCCATAGGATGAAGCATGCTAGTTTACCTCTTTCAATCTTGACACACCCCAGGAGGGATAGTCGTACTCCCCACCCTCCTGAACCGACGATACCTCGCCCCAGACCCCAATCCTCTCTTCGCAAACCCCCTCCAAATCTCACACCGATTCTTGCCCCCAGTAAGCGCCACATCTGCGTCCAGGATCGCATCACGCGCTTGTACAAAGGTCGGATTACACGGTTGTCTATGCTCAGTCAGCTCTACCCCCAGAAGAGACGAACGAACATGGGAATAGATAACTCACAAAGCCATCCCATCCACCACCAACTTCAAGCTCAAATACCTCCCATCCATCTCCCTCGCCCCTTTGCCAAAACCACGATGCAGATACCTACCACCAGCACCACTGATCCCCAACCCCCCACCCACACTACAACCCACCCCATACCGATCCATCAGATTCCACATCACCTCATACAGCATACTGTTCCAATGGCATGCACGCCCTCGAACTCATTGACATGGGTATACAGCAGCGGGTTCTCGCGCAAGGAGGTCGAGTACGGGTACGCGCGCACCCCGGACTTGGTGGCCTGGGCCCAGGCGCCCACGGCGTACGAGGTGTTGCGCGAGTCTGCCGGCTTCACGCGGATGGCGGTGGCCATGAAGTCGCCCCAGCCTTCGCCCATGCCGGCGGATTCGAGGGTGCTGAGGCAGCCGGCGTTGTGGGGCCCGCCGGTCAACCGGGTTGATACTATTTTTCCTGGCGCTCAGCTAGCGGTTTCAAGCTGGTGGAAGGGGGTGGTGGTCAGGGTGGAAGAGAGGTGGTTGGAAACGTACAACCATGGGTATACTCGTGGATCACGATCCCGGAGTCGAAGCTCCCGTCTCGGATGACATCCGTCGCGGACCCGGGCTCAACCCACAGGAACATGCTCATGCGGCCGGGGATCCCGTCGGGCGGCGCGGCGAAGTTGGCGTTGTCGGTGCCGGAGCCGTCCTGCGCGTTGAGGATCACGTAGTCGTGGGACCGGCCGCCCCGGCCGCCGTTGTTGAACTCGAAGTTGCCCGCGGCTTCGGTGAAGCCGAGCTGGTACAACAGGTCGTGGTAGGCGTTGACGGTGTAGAAGAGCTGCGTGATCGAGGCGTTGAGGTAGGCCGCCGGGTAGGTCTGGTTCGGGGCGTAGGGGTAGTGGAATTCCAGGGTCGGGGCTGACGGCCGGTAGTTGTTGCGGTAGGGCCGCCCGCCGCTGGGGTTCCACTGCGCGATCGCGTTGTTGCCTCGCGTGCTGGTGTAGTTGGCGAGCCCGTCGCTGTGCCAGGTGTACGGGGAGGAGGCGAGGTCCCATGGGTTGGTGACGATGATGCGCGTGCCGTCCGTGGGGTCGTTGATGCCCCATGGGCTGGATTGGAAGGGTAAGTTCTGAACAGAGAGGATGGCGGGGATTACTGCTCACTAGACTTGGTAGGATGCCTCGGAGACGTAGTCGATTACTCCGTGGATTGTGGTGCTGGTTGCTGCGTCGATGAATGTGATGAGCCAGTGATTTTGCACGTCTGTCTCAACTCGCCAGGTCAAGGTGAGCGTGTTGTTTGGGGTGACTAGGTACACGAGGTTAGCGGTTGGATCTGAGACTGCGCCTGCGGTTCCTTGGAGAATGTAGGTGTTGTTTTGTGTGACTGGTTTTGTTCTGACCGTGTCAACTGTAATAGGAAGATGCAAAATGTCCACTACTCGTTGAAGAGCAAGAATCGGGTCTGAGAGATTTGACTGTGCTATCGGATCACCCGCTGGGAAGTTGCCCGCAAAGAAGGAACTCCCATAGGAAATGATCTCCCCGTTTTTGCCAATCTGAAAACATGAGTACATTCTCTCAACTCAGGAGATAGATTGTCTTACGTTCACATTGCAATCAGCGTTCTCAGTGTCGATTCCATGCAGGGTCTGACGGAAGTACACATGCCCGACTCCGTTGTCTCCGATATAATGGTTGTTGATGATTCGAAAGCTTGTTCCTGGCGAGAGGCTTCGAACAAGCCTTGTAGCTGTTTCAACATAGTCTTCCTGCCCAAGGGAGGGATACTGCAGCGCGAGGTTGGAGATAGTGGAGGAGTCCACGTAAGTGGCTCTTGGTGTCAAGCGGAAGTGGTTGAGATCCACAAAGCTCCGGACTGGCCCGTGTTGTGGATGGCCAGTACATAGCGGTGGGAGCACTCCCAATGCTCCTATATATAGCAATGCGCGCATCGAGTCAGGTTCTCAGTCGATTACAGAACTAGTGTAAAGTCTTGCATGAGAGTAGATTGGACCCAAGTATAGTTTTCTGATAGGGCACCAGCCTGCTTTAAGAAGTGAAGCCTGAGCCTGAAGCACGTTCCAGGCATGTTCTATGTAAAGCTTCGCTTAAGGCAGTGCGTTGTATTACAGACTCCGGGTCGCATAACGTAGTAAGGCACAGCAGTTTCACGCGAGAAGCTATTTGTTACATCAAGGGCCGGTTTGTACACCAACTCCGATTAGTAGTGAGACGGACTGTGATAGAAGCCTAAGATGTGCACGGTAGTTGATAATATTTACTTACCCGTGCATGTCATTAGAGGATAGAGATCTCCACGGAGGAAATGCAAATCGATTGAAACTCAGTGGGTTGTGATTATGATCTGTCCAGACTGGACTCGTCATGATTTTTTCGTCTGCGTTAGACGCTCTGAAGTGAGAGCATATAATCAATCTAGATCTATAGCATAAAGTCTTGCTCTAGCCGTTAAGCCCGATCTTCAGCAAGGTCACACATCGCCTGGAAGTCTAATTAGCCTTATCCCAAGTTGAAAATCACCGATGTCAGTCGAGTCACCTGGATCGTGCCCCAATACTGAAATGACATCCCATCTGTCGGCCTTTCGACGTATTTCCTCCACCACGGCATCTCTGCTTCTTATGTTGACAACCGCCCTGCAACAGAAGCATGCCGGAAAGGGACAATCAAAATTCAATTGCAGGGTAGAATTCTTTAATCCAAGAATCGATATTTGCGTGAAAAAGACGATCCAACCAAGATACGATGCGCTGTACTCTCGCCTGGCTTTCGGCTGGTCTCCGCATCGGCAGTCCCCGAGCGGGCCCAGCCGAGCTGAGAGGTGTCGACAATACTCAAAAAAAGCAACACTGGTCGCATAAGTACGAGTATCGGTGACGGCCCAATCTGCTAAAATTGATGCGTCCACCAGCAGGAAAACCATCCAAGGGGCGGGAGGGAATGCGGCTGATCTGCAGGTTCATGACTTCGGATGGTGACAGGGAGCCGGGGAGTGAGGTAGTACAGCAATGCAATCGCCCAAACAAAAGTAGCTGCAAGGTACGGTTTATCAAATGATCCCGCTAAGCCACTCTTTCGCAACGGGTCGATCCCTGGAAAGATGTAAGTATGGGCGTTCTTCTTGCTACACAGTATAACAATGCTCTATCCCTTGACTCGTCTTGTGTGCAGTGCAAGTCAAAGAACAACGCCTCGTACTTTTGCCCCAGATTCCAAGTCTGGTCTAGAATCTTGCCTGGAATCCCGGGGCATCTCACCAGCAACTCCGAAACATGAGGGCTGCTGAATACTGTGCTGCTCTCGGAATTCTTCAACAAGTGGAGTAGTCGCGTCGCTCCATCTGGATTGTCAACTCGGGGGTGGTCGGACTTTTGCCTCTGGGCAGGGTCACAGAGACTTGTGCAGGTGTCATATCGAAGGGATGAGTGGAGCTGTTGCTGCAGCTATGCATTTCATGCAGGAGAAATTCCGAAATCAAGGTATACGGACTATACAGCTGCCCGCACGGATACCTTGAGGATGGTATCCCAGGAAGTTCAAGATCCCGCCGAGATACACAAACGAGTATTGAGATCTCGACTGAATGTATTATGGATAGGCATGATAGCTGTCCCTGTTTGTGGATGGATCAAGCCATCATACACATTCAGAAGCACTGCAGGAACCATGGCATGATGTTGTAAGGTATGTAATAAATCAAATAGCTTGGTAGGGATCCATTTCATGAAGTATCCCGATTCGCCCGGAAGGACTCCATTTTCCACCACTAAAGTTTAGTAGGAAGGTTTGGTGCCTGAGGGGAAGATACAAAGATTGACTCTGGAGCTATTCTCAATTGCAGAACTGTCATTGTTGCAGTTCCTGCTTCGACTTCAAGTCATCCCTGCACCTGCATAACTAGCAGTCACTTTGCTAATCAACTAACTAATCAACCGGACATTGTTTGTTGAGGGGATATGCCCACGGTCCAGGAACGTGGCGGGGACCAGCTGCGCGTTCCCTGTCGAGAACGACTAATCCCTATCGGCGAACCCCAAAAGTGGAGAGGGCCACCCACTAAATACTGCAAGTACGGAGTACTCACTCGAAAGATCAGCCCCTGAACTCCTGAGCACTGGAGACCATAACTTGACCACCACCACTTCTGCTGGGATTTTGTCATTCTTCTCTGCTCGAGACAATACCTAGTAATGGATGGGGAGTCCTTTTTGAAGACTAATCTCTCCCTTTTCCAGCCTAGTGTCCCCGCTGCTCTACCTGAAGGAGACAGACCCGTTCTCTAATCGTCGGATCCCCCAGCCTTCTTCCCTATCTATCTAGAACGTTCACTTTCCAAGTCACCCGTCGGTCGCATTTTGAGCTTGTCATCGTCGTTCTTCCCCTCTCCCCCCCTCTCCTTCATCCGCCTCCACACCTACCCACTTCCACCGTCTTTCTCCCTTTCGCCTTTGAAGAATCACTACAAATACACTACGCTGTGATCACTTCCGGACCAAGCAAGTCGTTGGTCTCCAATGCGGCTCCCGTCATGTCGCTCAATGGGCTCGATCATCCCCCCGTCATCGAAGCCTATCAAACCGCTTTGACCGAGGCCGGCGGATGGTGAGTCGCTTCCCCTTCCCCTCTCACACCAACTACACTTCTTGCATCCCCTGCGCCCGCTGTTTCTCCGGTCGCAAGGGTCTCCACATTCGTCGCAATCGCACACAAAGACTCATGCGCATGACTGTGGTCATTTAGGTTTCTGCTTCGGTATGTATCAAGGGATGAGGTAGCTCTCCTCGAGCGAGGGACAGGTGGGGTCCCTGATGTGCGCAATGCAATCGAAGGTTATGAAGAGACGTCACCGCTCTATGGCTTTCTCCAATACCGCCGGCGAAAGGTCGTGCTCAGCTACTTGCCCGATGGCATGTCTCGGCTGCTTCAAGGTGCGCGACTGTCGTCAGTCCTTCGACCTTGATTTCCTCTCACGCTGACGCAATCGTCACCCTTCCAGCTCGAACGACGGTACAATTCCAGTCCATATTAGACAAGTTCTCGCCGCATGATACGGTCTTCTCGGTGAAACAACCATCGGAACTCACTGAAAGCGCCCTGTCATCCGCATGCTTGCTACATACGGCTTCCGGCTCAATTAACTCCTCGTGCAGCTCCCTCCGCCGTCGCAAACTGATGGAAATCGCGGAGGATGCGGAAGAGCAGCCCGTAGACAAAGACACAGCCCCAGCAATACCACCGATGAGCGAGATGCGACAAAGAGCCTACAGTCAGATCTCCGAAGCCACGGTAGTTCCCCCATCCGTGATGTCCAGTGTACAACAGTCGCCCATTGGTCCTGAGTCGAGTGTGACAATCCTGGAAAGCGTTCCAGGTAGAGATCGGTCCTCTTCAGTAGCCAATTCGGAACGTGCACCTTCCCTGAGAAACTTTCAGGAGGACGCTACACAGGCTGCTTCCGAGCCTCGCAGGTCCTCACAGTCGACCCGGCCATCCATAAAGGAGATTGATCGTGCAGCTGGATACGTACCCAAAGCCAAGCTTGGCCCGCGGCCGTCATTGGACGGGAGTGGACGGCCTCGCACTGCAGGCAACCTGTCGCGGTCTGCTGACAAGCGACCGGTAGCCTCGTTGCCCGCGGGGGTTCGGTCATCGTCCTTGCGAAAGGCCAGCCCGAGTGCTTCGCGTCCTCAGTCTCAAGGGGGCAGCAGCACACCCGCATCTATCAAAGTGCCTACTGTACCGCCTTTGCTGTTGCCTCCATTGTCGACACCTATATCTCGACCCAAACTGTCTCCGGGTGCCAAGTCTCTGAGTGCGCTATCATCGGGGGCATCACAAGAGAGAGAACGGTTGATGAAGGCACTTCAAATGCGGAAAACTCAATTGGCGAAGAAAGCAAGAGAAGAGAAGAAGAGCGAAGCTGCTGACAAAAAGGGGGCAGTGAAATCGGATCCGACCGAGAATAAGGAGAATACCAACTCCCAGCTCCCTGAAGAAGTCAAACTTCAGGACAAGCCGGTACCAGTTTCGGAACCCGGCAACAAACCCCTATCTGAAACGGAGGGAACCATGACTCCTGGGGCATTACAAAAGGAGGAAGGGAGCCCTACAGTTCCCGGTCAGACAAATTCCGAGTTGTGCCTGCAGGAGGCTGATACGGCGACCCCTAATCCTCAAGCATCGACCGACAAAAACAGCCGCCAGATTACAGCAACTATTAAAACCTCCCAGCCGACATCCACCCTGTCGGAATCTGAAACACACGCTTTAGAAGGGGCCTTGGCTGCGTCCGACGACGGGGAGACTACGGGTGGCCCCTGCACGCCTAGCGCCGTATTCCACGTCCCACCAGAGAACGATTCTGGAAAAGCTCCGAAGGAAGAAATTGTTGGCCCCTCGCCACCCCAAACGGATAACAACAGCAACAATCCTCTTGTTCCTGGCGAACAAGAGGTCAATTCGACTTCGGAATCAACAATTCAGGCTTTTCAATCCGAATCAAGTCCTCAGCCCAACTCTCCTTCTTTCATTTCGCGCCCAACTCCCTCCCCCGATTCGCCGTCGATCACCGTGCCTCATTCTCCCGAGCCGCAGCATGACCTGACCCCTGAATCCTCGAATGTGGAGCGACAGCATAGTACTACTCGAAAGGAGAAACGCAAACCTTACCTTGAACCCATTCAAGTACCTACTCCAGACTACTCTGATGACGAGAACCTTCTCTCTGACGATTCTTTCATGGAAGAATTAAAAAGTGCCACCGTTGAAGAGGCCAAGCCGATCTCGGTCGGCATTTCACCCCTTTCCCCCGGATACTCGAACACAAGCAACGGCAACACCTCGCCCGACGCGTGGAGGAACTCCCGTGCCGTCTCAAATCCAAGCGCTATTGGACATCAACCCCCCGAAATGCAGGCATTAGCCATGGGTCGGTCGGTGTCGTCCTCGTACGCCGATGCGGGAGACAGCAACAGCCCCGTCCTAGTGGCCAAAAAAATCAATGTCTCGTCCGGCATCTCCAAGCGCATCAAGGCGTTGGAGAAGTTCTCCAACACCCGCGAAACCACCCCTACCGCTGGCCAGACCCTGGCCGCTCCTTCCTTCGAGTCCCTGCGTAAGGGCTATTCCGAGGCCTCGACGATCTCGAGACCTGTTTCCTTCTACCCCGAATCCTTCTCTCGCACAACCAGCCTACGGCGTCCTGTATCTCAGGCTGGTCCTGGTCTCACGCGTAGCGCGAGTTCGGTCTCCGTGACCGCTCGCATAGTTCGTGAGCGTCCTTCCACCGGAATCGAACCAACCGCCGATTCCCCTGAGCCAAGCTCGCTCAACCTCCTTGCTAGTCCCCTGACTATCGAGCACAACACTATTCCCGATTTCCCCATTCCACCAAGTCATATAGCCGAGCCGGTGGTCACGCCAGCTGAGGAGCCGAGCGTGTCCGCGGCTTCTGAGGCATTGGAACAGCAACCCTCCGTTGCGCCTATCTCGCGCTCTGAGAGCAGGTTGTCTCATTCCTCTACCCCCAAAAATGAAGAAGCCATCGACGACACTCCCTCACCTGATGTACCCTCTTCTCCTGACGAGAAGAAGACGTCCCGCACTTCCCGGCTCCTCCGTCGTATGTCGTCGATCACTTCTAATTCCCGCAAGACCGTCATGGCTGCTCTAAATCCAATGGTCAACGAGGAAGAGACGGCGCCGAAAGACAAGCCGGAAGTTGCTCGTGAAGCCGCCCAAGCAATTGACATTGGCGAGGTCAACGTCCAGTTTCCGGATACTCTGCTATGGAAACGTCGCTTCATCCGTATCGATGACAAGGGATATCTGGTGCTAACACCTGGAAACCTTGACTCGGGCAATCGTAACCTGGTTAAGCGATACCATTTGACCGAGTTTCGCACGCCTTGTCTTCCGGATGAAGATCGACAGGAACTTCCGAACAGTATCCTCTTAGACTTCAACGACGGAAGCACGCTTCAATGTGCTTGCGAATCAAGGAATGGCCAATCTTTCGTTCTTCAAAGTAAGTGGTCATCTCTCGCTGATATCGACTTCGTTCGCTAACTTGGAAGCAGCATTGGTTGATGCTCACCGCAACTACGGTCAAACGCTCGCTCAATAGTCCCTTGCATTACTCTAGAGAACATTTGCATCCTCGTTCATCGCTTAACCATGCATACTCTCCGCCGTCTTTCTATATCTTGTTACCCGGTGTTTTCAGCGGTATACCCCTCTAAAATGGACCATTTTGTTTACCAGCTGTTCGGTATCTGTTTTTAATTTCTTCAATCTTCAAGCTTTGTGCTTCACTTCTTGGGTTCCTGTGATTTCAGCACATCCCAGTCACTTGCTGTGGGCCTATTTGACATTCTCGAATTCGCGTGAACCTTCCGTCAGTATTGATGTGACTGGGTTTCATCTCCAATTGGGCGCGCTTCGCTTCTTTCCAACGACCGGGCTCCAAGTGAGCCTGGTCAGTAGATCATTGAATATGGAATTGTATGATTCTGGTTGCCCATGTCGGAGGTCTCCGGACACCAGGTGGCTGTCCTAGTACTGTGGTCCTCTCGTCTATGGACTTTAGTCCTGCTTTCTGCAGAATGTATTATCTAGAACTCAACCGAGGTTTAGAAATGAAGAAAACCATCCACCCTTTTCGTTTGAAACGCCAAACCCAGATCAATTACAGATAGAATGAATTAGTTTTTTCCCTCGGCCTCGTTTTCAGCGGCTCTCTTGTCCTCCCATTCTTGCAGGAACTGCTGCACCTTGGGGCCCCAGACCTCCTCGCCGGCCTCGAGGTCCTTGTATTCGAGCACCTTCTCGGGCTCCAGCACGAAGTCGGCCTGACGAGAGCGGACCAGGGAGCTCATCAGTCCGCAGCTGCCGACGGCCTTGCCCAGGTCGTGCGCCAAGGAGCGAACATAGAAGCCGGACGAGACGGTCATGGTGATCTTCACAGCCGCGGGCTGGGGCCGAGCGGGTGCTTCCTCTTTCTTCTCGGTCGCTTCCGGGGCGCTTGACGACTCCGCCGCGGCGGCCTCCCCAGACTGTGCAGGAACGCTGTCACCGTCCTCAGACACCTTGACCCTCTTGGCAGCGGGGGCCTCCTCGGACTCTTCCGCGCCAGCCACGGGGCCACTTCCCTCCTCGACCTTGGGAGTCTCAGCAGGAGGCGAGGCCTCCGCCTCAGCCTCAGCCTTCCGCTTCCCCGCCCCCTCCTCAGCAGCCTCAACACCCTCCCCAACCGGAAGAGCATCCTCCTTCCTCAACATGCGCTCCGCAACCTCCCTCTCCTCCCCCACGGCCTCCACCTCGGGCCACTTGTACTCATGCGTCCCCGGCTCAAACCACTCGACAACCCTCAAATCCAAGACCTCCACGGGCCTCGCCTTAATCTCAACGGGCGGCTCCACCCCCTCCCTGGCATACTCATACAACCGCTTCCCCTGCACACGCAACGCACTAAAGATAGGCGGGCGCTGCATGATCTTGCCGCGGAACTGGTCGAGGGCGCGCTCGACCGCCTCGCGGGTGATGTGCTCGTAGGGCGCGCGACGCACCACCTTCCCCAGGACGTCGTAGGTGTCGGTCTCGGCGCCGAACAGCACCACCGTCTCGTAGGTCTTGGTGCACCCCAGGAAGTTGTTGAGGTACTTGGTGCCCTTGCCGACGCCCGCCACCAGCACCCCCGTCGCCAGCGGGTCCAGCGTGCCCCCGTGCCCGATCTTCAGGTCCAGGCGCTGCGTGCGCCGCCGCCGCCGCTGGAATTGGTTCTCCCGGTCGCGCCGCGCGCGCTCGTGCGCCAGCCACGGTTGGAAGAGCGCGGACGGGTTGAAGTGTTTCTGAAGCGTGCGGATCACGTCCGCAGAGCTCACGCCTTGGGGTTTGTGGACGGCTGTTTTTTTTTAAGGGGTTCGTTAGTTGGGTTGGATATTGAGTAAGAGAGTAAAGAAGATAGAGTTGGGATGACAGTGGAGTTAAGGATGAGGAGACGGGCTCATGCATACCGAATACGCCTTCGTAGATCTTTTCTCCGCTCATGGTGGTGCGGAAGAGCTTGAAGCTGCGGGGGAGGCCCATCGGCCGCGAGAGGGGTGAGTACGGAAGAGCTTCACAGGTTCAGAAGATGTGTAATGTGAAAGCGCAGTTCAAGCACTTGAAGCTGATAGTCCGTGAATGTAGCTCGTGGAATTGACACAATTGATGAATAAATGCTAGGCCAGAGAGACCATCCGGAGAAGGATTCTAAATTTCGGCTCGTTGCCTCGCAATTCTGCCGGTTTAGTATAGGCGGTCCGTTCAGCGGTCTGAAACGGCAGAACCACATGTAGCCCGCCATGTTGCTGTTGTCGGAAATGACCGCCCATCCCGGAGCATTGAAGTGAGCAGTAGTAATTGGTAGTAGTAGCTCGACTGTCATGCGCCCGTAATTACCAGAATTTCACTCTCTTATCCCCGCAATTTAATGTGTAATGATACGTAATTTCTCGGATCTCGCTCCCTCTCTCTCTTGGTACACTCTAAGCTTCTCCTCTCAGCTCCCCTCGTTCCTGTCTGTCCCTCTTGCCAGTCTTTTCCCAATTATAAATTCCTTTCGTTCTCCTCTCCACCTGGTCTTTCCTCATAATATCTTTCGTTTACGCAGAACCCCTCGAACTATCCAAGCCATTATCGTTCAGGTCGCTTTCCGATTTACTCAAACTTTCACCTCAATCCCCATTGCATCAGCACCGCAGATAACAATATGCTCCCCCCACCACCAGAGACATGACCTCGCGCGAAGATAACGTCCTCGCCGCTCGCGACCCGGCTCTGACGGACGAGAACGAGTGGGAGGAATTTAGCCTGTCCGAGGTCCGCGTTTTGTTTCCGGGGAAATCCCGCTATGCCAATCTCCTCACAGCCTCGCCGGACAACCCTGTCCAAGTAACGGGGTGTTTGGATGAAGTGGAGGAAGAACAGGAGTCTCTGGGTTTGTCGTTCCTCATATCTTTCCCCGTTGACAGGATTGAATGTTGCGCTACTGCGAGTTGGATGATGCTGACATCATCCTGTGAATGATAGTGCTCGATCCGGAATATCTCACCAAACGCATTGTCCTAGAGAATGTCACGCACTACGCCTATGGCCAACATAATGACGGAGAAGTCGGGTTTTGGGTTGCGGGGCGGGCGGGGTGGTTCTCCATCTCTCCGGCGAAGGGCTATAAACCGATGTTCAATGAGGTAGTGGAGGCGATCGATCTGTTATATTTTCTAGCGGATCGACATAAGCGTAAGAGGGGTAGGAGGAAGTTCGAGGGTCCCAGTGTGGAGTACCTATTTGAGGAGGTGAGTGTATTTCCCTCTGCCCCATATACCTACAAGGACAAAAAAGTTGGACGAGGGTTAAAAAAGAGAAACAAGACCTGACACAAGGATAAGACATGGCTGGCGCGCGCATGCTCGGGATGCATGGCGATTGGATGATTCAAGGCTAATGTCTCGGCTCTCTGCCTTTTGCCTAAACAGTATGTCAGCCACACGCATGGGATCTGCGAGGATGCAGATGATTCCGCCGAGGTGTTCTACAAGCATCATAACTTCTTGCTGTCACGGATGTTGAAGGGGGAGGAGAATGTGCAGTGGTCGACAACGCATATTCTCGCCCACCTGAGCGAAAGATTTCCAGTATGTCTCGGATTTTCTTCTCCAGTTCGAGTATGGGTGCTAATCTCCGGCGATAGGAGGATTATGAACAGATTAAGGCGCAGATTGAAGGCGTGGACGAGGTCGAATCTGAGGAGGAAGAAGAGAGTACTCCCGAAAAGACGGACGATGAAAAAGGCCGCGTAGCAGACTCGTCAGGGTTGACGAACGCCGACGCGAATTCGATTTACCAAATGATCCTCGATCTCAAGGAAGAGGGTTACTTGGCTAAGCGTCAGCTGAATCTCGACCTTGTTGCATCTACGCTGGTCGATCGATTCGAGATTGACGACGACGAATATGCGCACAGTCGGATCGCGGCAAGCGCTGAAGTTATCCTGGAACTGATGGATGAGGCGAAAACATCTTCATTTGACTGGTCCAGAAAGGTCATCTATCGTGAGCTGAAGGCGGCTTCAAAGCAGCATGGTGGACCTTCGCAGGAGGCGGTGACCCCGCTTCGTCCGCGCATGTCAGAAAGCGAGGCATCCTCCCCTGAAGACAGCGACCAAGAAGACCTTCCCCGATTGCGCAAACGTCGAGTCCTCAAATCCGTTCTGCGGCCTAAGAGTGCAGTGGCCACGAAACGAACGGGCAAGCGCACGCGCAGTGCAGCAGCAGACACGGACGAGGAATCCGACGCCAATGCAGACGCTATGGACGAGTTCGAAACGCCCAGCAAGGTGCGAGGGCACGAGCTCGTCCGCGATCCGCTATCAACCCGCGCCAAACGCAGGACGCGGTCGATATTGTCCGACTCGGAGTCCACAGCACCTTCTATACAGAAGACCTCGCTGCAGGATGTTTTCCAGAGCCGCAATACGTCCGTCTCCGCTGCCGATATCGACGTACATCCTCACGAAGAGCCTGCAGCAAATGGCACAAACGGCGAGGATGTACAGTCGGATACATGGACGTGCCAGGTCCGAGGCTGCGGCAAGGTCGTGTACAAGTGCAGCACGAAACGCGGCAAGCAGCTGATCGAGGATCACTCGCTGGCTCACGCGGATGATACCAAAGCAAAGCTCGATCTAGTTTTCGCGGAACAGCGACTCAACATCGGCCTCCCTGTGGATAATCTTCTCAAACGTATCCGGGAGATGGCAGGAGGGGAGGACACCGGCCTTGCGGATACGGAAGGCGCGGTGAACGGCGCTTCCGACGCAGTAGGAACGTGACCGGCAAGCATAGAACGATACACCAAGATACCCACATGAAGTGACGATGATGATGGCTGCTCTTTCCAGCACAGAAATGAGTGTTGCGGTAGTCTGGTCAATATCCATCATGGCAGGCCGCCTAACCATGAAAGGCTAGACATACACCTACGGTGTAACTACCGGTTCCTCGTATTAATTGTCTCCCCAAGTCCCAGAGCAGGTGATAATGTGACTGAGAAGCCACCTGACCCGGTGTGTCTGAGCACAAGACCTAGCAACAGGCTCACACCACATTATCGGAGATGCAATGGGTCGCTTCCATAGTATGATGATATGATACCACAATGAGATACCACTTTCAGTCCTTCCAACTACATATTACACAACCGCAATAGCGATTCATCAAAGGCCGTCCAACCATAACCATGGATTAGTTCAATATACACAAGTTTCATAACCCTGACCAGGCACAGTCACGATGTCTAATGGGGTGGGTGTGAAAATCGAAACAATTGCTTTTTGTAAAATAGAAACCCAAACGACCCTCATCCGGTATCCGAGCAAGCTAGAAAATGATGAAAATGTAGGAAACGGAAACGATGAAGACCCAGAAAGAAGAAATCAAGCACGACCCTTGGCAGCAGCTCTCCTGCTCTTACCAGGTCTCTTCGCGCCGCCGCCGCCACCACCACCACCACCTCCCCTCGAACCGCCCTTCATCTTCCGGACGGAGAAGTCGCGCATATCACCACTCGAGACGGCATCACCGCTCTTGGAGTGGCGCTTCTTCCCGCCGAAGCCGTACTTCTCGTTCTTCTTCTGACGCTTGGCGTTGGTGGCGCCGTCGCTGCCAAAGGCACGTTTCCGGTTGTTGGGCTGGGCATCGTCGATGGCGATGTCGAACATCTCGTTGGCGTTGTCGGCCTCGCCGGAGGTATCAGCCTTGCGCTCTGTGGGAGGCGGAAGGTTAGCGGGGTGTCCGAATCGACCCGATTCCCCATAAGAAGCAGCAGGGTAAAAGAAAATTTGGGGGTAGGGGAGCATACTCTTCTTCAGATCATTGATCTTCTCCAAGGTCTCGCGCTTCTCCTTGGCGCGCTGCTGCAGCTTGGCGACCTGGACCTGCTTGCCGAACTTCTTCAGGTCGCGCTGCTTGCGGGCCTCGGCGGCGGCCTTTTTGGCGGCGGCCTCGTCGTACAGCTTCTTCTTGATCTTGTCCATGTGCTCGTCCGTCTTGACCATCTCGGCGAAGTAGTCGCCGGGGCGGGTGAAGGGGATGCCCTCCTTCTTGAGCAAGGCGCGCGCCTGCGTCGCCGCCGCCTGGCAGACCTTGTAGAAGGCGAGCTCGCGGGTGAGGTCGTCGTTGGCGTCCGGAACCTCCATCTCCTCCTTCGAAACCAGCGAGTTGTGCTCCGAGAAGGGGGTCTGCGCCGAGATGAAGGAGATGCGCTTCAGCGAGGCCGTGATGGCCGCCGAGTTGTTGATGGTCAGCCGCTGGTGCGGCACCACGTCTTCACGCTCGTCGTCCTCGAGGTCGCTCAGCGGGATATCGGATTCTTCGGCTTCTTCGTCTTCCTCCTCTTCTTCCTCTTCGGCGGCGGATTCGTTCTCGGATTCTTGATCTTCGGCGGATTCTTCCTCCTCCTCCTCCTCCTCCTCCTCCTCCTTCTCGTCTTCCTCAACCTTCGACTTCTTCACTTTCTCCTCTTCCTCCTTCTTATCCTCAGTCACCTCCCCCTTGGCCGCCTTCTTTTTGTTCGCCGCCCTCACGAGCTTCTTCTGCTTCTCGGCATCGTAGTCCCGGCCGCGGTGCTCGTCCAGAGCTTGGAGCAATTTGCTTCTCTTCGGCATTGTAAAGGTTTGTGTGTGTGTCCGGTTGTAGACGCCGGATTTGTAATGAAATGGCAAAGAAGAAAAAGTCACGGAATTGTGGTGAAATTGAAGGAGATCCTCGGACTTTGGCTATTTCTCGAATCTTTGCGGCGGGAATTTTTTTGGACGGCAGGCTAGACTGTCTTGGGATTAGTGGGTGCGTCCTGCTGCTGAGGGTGGGGCGGCTGATTTGGGTGCCTGGGGCAAGCAGAGGGTAGGTGTCCGGGCGGTGAGAGGTGACCATTCATTGGAGGCCGTGTGGCCTGAGGCATTGATCGGCTACCGCAGGCTGGACTAAGCTTGATTTGGTAGTTTGATTGGGCTTCACTCTGAAGGAGCGTCTTACTGGATATATCCTTGGAAAAGGACATGGAAATTTCATTTGGTTCCTGACTGGGAGTGTTCTTATCTTATGTTAAGGTTAATTTAATCTAACTGTAGTAGACCATGATTCGTTAGTTCTGATATACTGCTTGGGCTACGGAATAATTTACCTGGTAACTAGTTATAGGTATGCTTTCAGGTAGTCTATTTTCAATGATTCCATAATTCTAGGAACTGCCTATATGGCATATTAAGGAGACGGTCTGTGTGCTTGAAAGACATTTGATTATTGAAGTGGTCATCAGAAGAATGGGAAGAACAATAGCCCTTAGTACTCCGTAGCATCTATACAACCTCACTATATCTCTCGCTAAGAATATCACGCTGATATGTTCAAAGCCCCCTTATAGATAGCTTCCTAGCCATCATACCATACGCCGTTGAGTGTCATTATAAAGTCTCCCAAGAGATACACCCATAAGCTCCCCACAAGAATGACCACCATCCCCAGCCCTCACCCAAACCCACCCATCCACCAAACAACCCCTCCAGAAACACCCAACCTACCGAACAAGAACCACCTTCCCCCTCCCCTCATACCTTCCAGTAGCAAACTCATACGCCTCCCGCACTCTCTCAAACGGATACGACCGATTCACCAACGACACCAACGCCCCGGCCCCCGCCAATCCCGCCAGCCAGCGCAACTCCTCCCCACCCCCAGCCACAATAAAGAACAGCGCGCGAACATCCCCCCTCCATATCCCACGCTCCTTGTGCCGTTCCACAAAATCAAAGCTGCCCGAATCCACCGAAATCAGCACCCCACCTTCCCTAACACGCCCCCAGCACCGCGCCAACACCTCCCCGCCCACCGCATCAACCACGACATCAAACCCCGCCTGCCACTGCCGCTGCTTTGTGGCTGTCTCCAGATCCGCATACCCAACCGTCTCATCTGCCCCCAGCCCTCGCAGGAACTCCCCGTTCCGGGCATCCGAGCTCGTCGCAGCGACGACGTGGCACCCCTTCACAGCGGAGGCAAGCTGCACCAGATGAACCCCCACGGCGCCGGCGGCGCCTGTTATCAAGATCCTGATTTGGGGAGCATCCAGCTCTTCATCCCGTGAGACGGACTGGGCGAACTGGAAGTGCGATGATCTCCTCAGCTTCTTGTCCATGGTATTTCTGACAGCGTCCTCGATCGAAGGCCGCGCAATCACCCCGGAATGCACGAACAGCGCCTCGTACGCCGTCAGCGCACTCAGCGGTAACCCCGCTGCTGCCTCCCAGCTCAACCCGGCGGGCTTGTGCGTGATTTCTTCGGCGCTGACGACGGTGTAATCCGCCCAGGTGGCGGCACGGTCGGTGTGTGCCATGCCGAAGACCTCGTCGCCGGGATGGAATGCGCTGCTGCTGCTGTCGAAGACTTCTGTGACGGTGCCGGCGAGATCGTTGCCAGGGATAGCGTAGTCGTGGTGGTAGGTCTCGGGCCAGGTGAGCATGTCCCGGACTATGGTTGTGGCATGGACGCGGATGAGGAGCTCGCCGGGTCGCGAAGGTTTGGGGATGGGGATTTGCCGGTCCAGGTGGAGGGCGGATGCCGGGGCTGGGTTGGTGGGGGAGTATGGGTTGGTGCTGGGGGGGGGAGCGGGGTGGAGGCGGATGGCCTGCATTTTTAGGGACTTTGGTTGGAATTGGGGTGGTGGTTTGCGAGGTGGTGCTGTGGTTGATGAGTGTGAGGATGGAGTGAGGTAGGGTGGATAGTTAGATATGTGTTTGCTTTCGTGTATGAGGGTCCATGGGCATGAAATGAGTGGAATTGTGACAAGGTATGAAACAATAACTGTCCCGAACAAAGGATTAAAAGGCTATCAAAAGGCTATAAGGTCAAACCAAGCTGTGGAAGGCCTCCCCGGGCTGCCCGAGTATCCCGGATCCCGTATCCCGAATAGCCTATCCGTTGGATACCCGGACACGAACCCTCTCACCTTGGGTAACCGGAATACCAAAAACTCAAGCTATGCTATCAGGCTGTTAGAAGCAATCTCAAATTGTATCCAAACTCTAACTCCTCTTGCACTTTTTAATCCAGATCCCAGAAGCATAAAGGGAACCCACCCCCCGCACCAACATCCCAAGTAAACTGGAAAGCCCATACAACTTCTCTAAGAACCCACCCTCGAACTATACAATACACCTCTCATAATGGAAGAACCCACCTACGACGCAAGGTACACCCCTCACATACACACCCTCATAGCTACACTAACAACATAAGCCTCCCCCTCGCAACCACCACCCTCGTCTACCAATACAAACTAGTCAACTGCCCCGGCAAGACCATCGTCGGCCTGCTGGTCGAATATCCCCCCAACGGTGCCACGCCGCCCCACCGACACGGCGGCGCGTCCGTGTCAGCCTACGTGATCAGGGGCGCCGTGCTGTGCAAGATGAACGACGACCCGGTGCAGACGATCAAGCAGGGCGGGTCGTGGTACGAGGCGCCCGGGTGCCATCATCGGATCAGCGCCAACGCCAGCACGACGGAGCCGGCGGCGTTCTTTGTGAGCTTTGTGCTGGAGACGGAGGTGTTGGAGCGGGAGGGGCCGGGGGTGTTGGTGCAGGTTGACGAGGAGTATAGGGAAGTTGTTGCGCGGAAGATGAGGATGGAGGTGTGAGGGTTTGTTCAAGAGGGCTGTGGATGGGGCGTTGTCTTCGGACTTGATTAAGCAATTGTCTTTCTGGTCGGAGAGTCTGTAAATGTTTCTCTTGATCCCATAATCAGACAACGACAAATTGAAGTGGTGATTGAGGATTGATGCAGCTTCACAAATGATGATGATGATGGTGACGAAGCCAGATGATAATGAAGTATAGAACGAAGTAAACCGCCGCTAGTCCCGAACGGGCACGCCATACCCTTTGCGGTACTTTGCTTGTTTCCGTGCCTCACTTTGTCTCTACTACAGAGAGAGGTGTTTGTCTAGGACTTATCCTTCATACTTCCTTCATACTTCCTTCTCGAACTACAATCTGAGACTCCAAACCCAGTGCTCGATTCAAAGAGAGCATATTCACAACCATCCACCCGTTACCCCTCAACTCTACACCACGCCCCAAGCCCACCAAGCAAAGCGGACACCGAGCAAAGCTCCGGCCCATCGCCGCGCCGCCGCGCCGCCGCCATTCCCTCCGCCCCGTCCCCTCCCATACCTAACTTATCTATCTCCCAACTGGAACCTGAAAAGCCCCTCCAATCCAGCGACACAACACAACACAAGACCACCACCACCACCTCCTCCTCCTCCTCCTCCTCCTCCTCCTCCTTCTCCTCCTCCTCCTCCTCAAACCGATTAAAATAGCACGGCACAATGACCGAAGAAACCAAATCCCTTCCTCCTCCGCCTCCACCTCCCCCACCCCCAGCTACCACGGTCCGTCTACCGCTACCCATACCCATACCCCATCACCATCCCCATCCCCATCCCTATCCTCCCTTCGCACATAAGCCACCTTCCCTCCCCTCTCAACCCAACCATACCAAACACTAACAACCCAAAGCTCTCCCCCCAACCGCAACCGCAAACCACCACAACCACCCAAACAACACCAAAAACCAGCCCCGCCCCGGCACCCGAACTCCAATCCGAACTTAACGCCGCAGTCGACGATCTCCTCGACCAGCTCCAACATAAATTCGACGGCGTCTCGCGCGAGATCTTTGGGAAGTGTGCGTTGCCCCCTCCCCATCCTCCTTTGATCCTTTTATTCTACGGAGCCTACGGCTCCCACGGCTCTGACGGCTCCTACGACCGCCAGGGGCTCCATCTACTACATTGAAAGGGGAAGGCAGAGGGGCAGACGGGTGTTGCTGGGTTCTGCGGTGCGCTGCGATGCGATGCTAACTCTATTCGGGGGTGTAGTAGACGATATGGCGCGGCGGTTAGATGAGTTGGAGGCTTCGTTGGCGTTGTTGGATTCTTCTTCTCCTGCTGGTGCGGGGGCTACAACTGGGGGTGGGGTTGCTGGGGCTGGAGCTGGGGCCGGGGCAGTTGGGGATGGGGCTGGGAGTGCTAGTCCGGGGCAGTGAGGATGCTTTCTTGGGTTGTGGCTTGGGGGTTTTGGGCTGGGAGGAGAGAGGGGATGGGGGTAATATGGAAGTGGAGGAGGGTGGGTGCTTGGTTCTTGGACGTTCCATGCATTGCATTGGTATTAATATTGCTCTGGTGGGGTTTCTTTTCTTGGGGTTGGGGTTTGTTTTGGGGGGATAGGAGCGGGTTGGTCATCAGGACTGGAGAGAGATGTTGGACGTGTACTGTATACAGTCAGGTGGTGTCGTTTTTACTGTCGACTTGGTTTAGATACCCCCTGTTTTAACTTGCGTTGCAATTGTGGCTTGTGTTGAGCATACTTTCTCTTTTTCCTGGGGGGGGGGGGCTAGCATAGATGAGAATCCTTATCTTCATCGTCATAGAATCGCTTGGTTTTCCCTGGTATCATACAAGGACCGATTGATAAGTTCACTAGAGACACAACACAGGACCAAAGTCACAGCCGTAGCACCCTGCACCTTCCAATCCGCTTGCCCCCCTCAGACGGAAACATAAGATATCTACAACTCATCCTTCTCCTCGGGGGCGTCCTCCAGAACAAACTGGCGCAGGATGTTGCTGCGCGAGACGAGATCATCCAGCTTCTCCGGGGCGGAGCCGCCCTTGGCGAGGATCTTCTCCAAGCGGGCCAGTTCCTTGGTGACATACTCGGCGTTCTGGCTCAGCTTGTCGGCGACCTTGACGTAGTACGGGGCGTACTGGTCGGTCAAGCCCTCGGCGGCCTTCTTGATCTCCTCCTTCAGAGTGGCGGAGGTGGGGCCACCGGCCACGATCAGCTCCTTCAGCGCGGCGATGGTGCCGGCCTGGGCGTTGAGCCCGCCGCCGACGGCGCGGTGGGTGCCGGCGTGCTCGTTCAGGAAATCAATGAAGGCCTGCTCCGAGCGCGCCCCGTTGTACACGGTCGCCTCCGTGGACCCGCGCGGGAAGAACTTGATGGTCGGGTAGCCCGTCACGCCGTTGGCCTTGGCGGTAGCCTTGCTGTTCTCGCCCTCGGCGTCGACCTTGGCGATCACCACGTTGGCCTCGCGCGCGAAATCGTTCGCCAGCGTCTCCCAGGTGGGAGCCAGGCTCTTGCAGTCTACACCCCCCCATCAGAGGTCCATTAGCATCGTCACACCCAAAGCAAGGCAAGGGGAAAACTCACGCCCACACCAAGGCGCCGTAAACGCGACCAGAACATCCTTCTCCCCACCCACGACCTTCCCGAACGTCTCATCCGTCAACATCTCAACCGCACTGGGCTCCTTGGCCGCACCACCGCGGGGCTTGACGCCCGTCTTCTCCGTGATGAACGCCGACAGACTCTCGAGATCCCGTCCACCCTTGTAGTCTTCCGGAGTGTCACTCTTCCCGTCGAACCACTTCAGCGTGGGGAACCCCTGGACCCCGAACTTCCGGCCCAGGTCGCGGTGCTCGTCCGCATCGACCTTGGCGACGGTCACCTTGTCGGTGGCGTGGGCGAAGGCCTGCGAGAGCTCCTCGTAGGTCGGGGCCAGGTTCTTGCAGTGGCCGCACCAGGGGGCGAAGAACTCCACCAGCGCCGGCTTGCCGGACTGCAGGACGATCTCGTCGAAGTTCTTGGGGACGAGGTCGACGACGGCCGCGCTGGCGGTCGCGGCTGCCAGGGTTAGGTAGCTGGCCAGATGGCTGAGGCGGACCATCTTTCTTTTCTTCTTCTTGTATAGTAATTGGAGATGGATGTATGTTCAGCAAAAGAAGAAAAGTGGGCAGGTCGAACTGCCGATGATGAAACCGGGGGGAATTTGTTAATGAAGTAATGAAGTAATGAAGTAGCCAAGTGTAGCGCGGTTGGGGGAAGCTTCCGCGGCGGAAAGACTGCGGAGGCCGAAGCGGGTCGGAACCGGAAGAGGACACTTGGTAAGTTGTTAACAATTTATTATCACTAAGCAATCAACTCCTCCCAACTTGCCGTATTTGCTTATGAGTACGAAGTACGGGTAGATTACTCAACATGCATGATCAGGTTGATTGTTAATCATTCACCTACTCAGAGCTAGGGGAAGGTCGGCTTTACGGAAGAGCAATGCTTCAGCATAGTTTCGCCACCGGCCACAACACAATCCCGGCCCATCCAATCCCATCCACCAACAAACGGCCCATCACACCATATCTTCCCCGATAGTTCGCGCTAGATGGCTATATTTGCAGCAGCTACATGAGCTTGAAATAACTACGCGGGTTGCTGGACTGTCGAGCAGACTCCGTTCGGTACCTTAAAGCGGTGATCGTGATGTCGTTCGTTGCTGGTCATGGACTAGCTGCTATCATTGACCCGTGTGTCCATAGAGCAGAAGTCGCATCTCCAGTGATTCGTCACCGTCGCTCGGCGAGCCAGCGGTTTGCCTCTTCCCATTTGTTGCCGTCCTTGAACTCCCGTCCTGCGTTTTGCGATGCGCGGTAGACCTATACGACAATCAATATGTAGTCAACGCATCTCCAGCGGAGTCACCTACCGCATCCCAGAGCTTGAATGCCATGTCGAGGTTGCCGGTAAAACTGTCGCTATGTTGGAACCATTCCTTGCCCTTGGCCTTGACCTCTGCCCGAGCTTCGGGCGATGTGGGATCGGCTTGCAGGGGCAGGTCGTCTAGGTAGGTGCGCACAGCGATTCCAAGTCCGCAGTCATTGTCGTCAATGAAGGGAAGCCTGCATATGTTAGATACATCCCACATGAGAACTCCAGATTAACTCACTTGGCACTCAAGTCGCCCCAGTCTTTGCGGTCCCGCTCAGCGTCACCACTGAGCAAGAGACCAGCGAGGACCACCTCGATGAGGTTCCGTAGCGTAGAGCGAACCTCCGAGATCAACGAACGATAACAGAGCAGCTGCCTACTCAAGGGGCCCGAATACCCAATGCTCTTGTGTTGTAACTTGGCGATACATGCCACGCGCGATACGAGCATGTTGAAGCTCTTGTCCTCATCTACAGGATTGGGTCAGCCATGATTCAAGCCCATGGCAGGGTTTTCCTTACCAGATCCCCTCATGGGTCCACCAGAGACATGAGAGAACCACTGCTTAGAATTCAAAAGGCCGAAGCGGATCATTTCAATGGCAAGGAATGTAGCCTCCTCGAGCGAGTCGACAGGGTCGAGCACAGACAACGCCTGCTCGAGACATACTCCCCATGGCGTAAGTTGATGTTTCTCGTCAATATAGCCGCGGAGTTGCAAGAAGCGCCAATATACGTTAGCAAGGATCTCGTCTTGCGTCGTCAATAGCTGTGAATGATTAGATCATATGCCTCTGAACAATTCGGGAAGGAGCGTACCTGTGCGTCTCGTGCAGACTGCGTCTTTGAACTGAAATCGGAGTCCTTCAGGCTCTGGACCGCGAATTTGAAACGACCAGTCGATGCCTACATATCAATGAGTAAGCATCCCAATGTCATCTTGCAGTGAAAGCACCTACCCGCAACTTCTTCAAGTTCTCCGGGAGCTGTGCGGTGCGGATCTTCCAGGCCTGGATGGTCTCCTTGACGGAAGGAAGTGTCTTGAGGTTGATCTTAGACTGTGAGTTCTCATCGTACCAGGTGCGCACAGTGATTTCCTTGGTCTGGTAGAATCGATGGAGAGAATGCGACAGCAAGCACATCGCTTGAGTTCGGACCGGTGTAAGCGTGCTACCAGCAACTTGGCGATAGATTTCAGTATCCTCAACCCCCAGCGGCAGGGAGACGGATACTTCACCCGACGTCAGGTAATTGGGCACGTCAGGACCCAGAACACCCTTGGACAGGTAGAAGTAAAGCTCTTCTGGCAGACGCTGGCCGATCAGCTCGTGCATGTCTGATGAAACATTCTCCGCGTCCATCGGCCCCACTCGTCCGTCGACATCGATGTAAACGTGGTGCTTCACTGTCATGAGAGCGCGCTTGTAGCGATCCGTATACTGGAGCTCCTGCATGCGGCGGTCCTCCTCGAATTGGGCGCAGAGGGTGAGGGCGCTACGCCCGGCGATATTGAACATAGGGACGGCATCACGGACGATCGCGCCCTTACCGGGGTTGAGGGGATTCTCGAAGATAGGGAAGATCGGAAGGAAGGTGGACCCTAGCACAAGGCAGAAGTCGAGGAACTGTTCATTCGACAATCCACCCAGCTGCTCTTGGCAAGTCTGTTTGTTGATCCAGAAGAATTGTGCGGGGTCGATATCAATCCGCGTGATCAGCTTATCGACGTCGAACAGGAAGGTTTCGGAGGATCCGCAGACCGCATCGATGAGGGGGTTCGGGCCCTTGGTCAGGTAGGCGAGCTATGCGAAACGGAGCGGAGTGTGAGATGATACACTTCAGATTCGTAGCATGTTACTTCTTACCTGAGCTGCAGCACTGTAGGGGGCCACGATGTAATCGACGCCGTTCTGGTGAAGAATGCGCTGCAAGAAGCGGTAGAGGGAATCCGGGCGGGGGGTGCCTTGGCCAAACAGACGGGAGTCAGCGCATGTGATATCCAAAAACCAGCCAATGCATGACTGCATACCGGCACTGCTGAAGGCGTCCACTACTTGGTCGGCCTGCTGCTGATCGTAGAGGTCCCAAGCTTGCTCGAATGCCCGGACAGCTTCCTGCTGTACCTGGGGCCGTTGATCCTTTTTGCCGAAGTCGAGGCCATTGAACACGAAGACGCAGGCGATGCCCAAATCCTTGAAGACCTGGAGCTCCTTCTCGATGGTGTTCTTCAACGCGAACGGGAATCCGCCCAGTGCGACCAAAAGGGGCTCGCGGGAGGAGGGCTGGACGAGGTGCTGGGAAATGTAGTGCGACGCATCGATACCGACGACCGCCCCTTTCAGAGCAGCAAGAGGGAGTGACTGGGTGCGGGTGGAGGCCCATTCATCCAGCGGACGGACTGTTATGAACCATGAATACACATTAGCTCGGTGGGAAGGGGAGCAGGCAGCTCAGCGTGAGCTACAGGTAGGGACTCACTCGGCATGGTGGAAGCGGAAGCTCTGTCACGGACTTTAGACGCGGGGACCGATATCAGGCATGGAGAGCTCCAGAGGAGCGGGGAGTGTGAGAATAATGTACGGTCGTGAACAGATCTATGATTGGGGAGTAGGACCCAAGTGAAAGGAGGGGGAAAGGGGAGAGAGAAGGAGGATATGAGGGTCAGAAGACAGTTGTTGGAGAGATGATGCGACAATCGGATGTCAAAGGCGGAGGGTGTTTCGGGCGGGACAATCACGAGGGCGGTGTTGATTGCCGCCAACTGGTCTATCACCACCAAGCAGTTGGTGTTGATGGAACGAAACTGACATCGATAGATAGTACGGAGGATTATGGAGATGAGTTAGATGAGTGCACTTAGTCGAACTAACCGGGACCAATGTTAGCTTCTCATTGACTATGTTAATGATTGGTATGTTAATCAATATTTCCCATGAACTCAGAACTACTAGAATGTAAAGCGGAACATGCAATGAGATGTATATTCTGTGCTTAGGAGCTCCAGCATAACCCTGTACGCAAAATCCAGACAATCTGCCATGGGCATAAACTTCTAGTTGACTGCAAAACACAATATACAATTCCATGTCCCCCCTGCCTTCTCCATATTATCTGGCATAACTTGGTTTCGAGCGAGATGACGAAGAACCATCTATTAGGGCAATTGATCCTACCGATCTCTCCATTGCTCGATGCATGTTTGAATAGGGACAGATCTTGTGAATGCATATGCCCTACGTAAACATCAAGCCATAAACGCTGACGGGACCATTCCAAACCCACGACAAAACCTATCCAATCAATCCAATGTGCCAAGCACTGGAGGATAGCAGACGAACCAGACCTTGTCTGGATATCTCGATGACTCCATTTCTCCAAATGACGGGTGGAAAAACCATACCCAGTAGCCGAGAGAGCGGCGCGGCGGTGGATTTGATTCGATCAGATCTCAGATGGGGCTTGGTGGACACTCGACCAGTTGCAATGGGTGGGATGGTAAAGGAAGATAAGGATTGAGTGATTATGAGTGACTGTTTCCTAGTCATACAATGTGGAAGCTTCAGAGGTGGGATGTCACAAATTGTTGCTGGTCAGCAAGGCAGTACTATTAGCACAGCCAATGCATGAACTGACACTTTATTCTAAGTACTCTTATCAGAATGCATGTCAAGACAATTTACTCCGACAGGAAGCCTCACGCCATCCGCCCATAGAATAATACCAATTAGAAATGGAAACGCCGTCACCTCCTGCGACAGCCGATATGGAAACCCACTTGGTAGGCCGATTGCTGGAACCGAGCCCATTTCCCCATATGGAGCCGACCGCCGCGGCATTTGATAGATAGCGAGAGCTCCCGATAAGTTTACTGCCTACTGGACTTTAAATAAATCTTTATATTGCCCCTCACACCAGCCCACTGCGCTTTCAGCTGACTCGAATCTTCTGCTTCGCTCCTTCAATCCGACTATTGCCTCCATAATGACAGACACCACCTCCGTCGGGGCGCCCATCGAGCTGCCCGTCCTCGACATCTCCAACCCGCTGGACCCTAACGCGGGGAAGGCGATGCTGGATGCAGCCACCACCTACGGGTTTTTGTACGTCGACAGCAAGGGCACCGACTTTACCCCGGCGGACGTGAAGCGGGCGTTTGAACTGGTAAGTTGTCAATCGTAGTGAATGCATCTACAACCGCATTGCGTGCTCTTCCGTCCAAAACTAACCAGAAACCAAACACCCAGTCGCAAACCTTCTTCATATCCCCCGCCGAAGAAAAAGCGACCTGTCGCATCGAACCCAATGTGCGTCTGCGTCCCCTCAATCACCCCAGTCCCAAATGACAATCACCTCTAATGATACCACCAGAACCGGGGCTGGTCCGGAATGCACGTGGAAACCCTGGACCCCGAACACCAGCGAGTAAGATCTATACTAACCCTCTACCTGTATCAAAATCCCAACGCAACTAACCAGCCAATCCACCTCCTCAGACAGGCGACTTCAAAGAGTAAGCCAGCCCCTGCCCCCTCTTTCCCTCCTCAAGCACCAACAATGAGCCAACAGAGCCTTCAACTTCGGCGAGTTCATCAACAACAAAGCCCAGCAACCGCTCCCGCCAGCCTTAGCTCCGCACGAAGCCGAGATCGCGCATTTCGCCGACCTGTGCCAGAAGACCTGCGCCAGGGTGCTGACCCTTCTGGCCTTGGGGCTTGGTGTACGCCTTCCCTCCCTTTCTTATAGCACTTGCACCTTTGAAAACGGATTGTATTAGGTTTGGGGGATAGTCCACCCCACCCCAACCTTGTCCCCCCCCCCCCACCTATCCCGGCTTATACAACCCCAGAACCAAATCTAACCCCATGCAATGCACCCCCAGATCCCAAAGGACTTCTTCACAACCCGCCACGACCCCACGCGCGGCCCAACCGGCAGCATCCTGCGCTACCTATACTACCCCTCCCTGACCTCCCCCGCCACAAGCACCTACAACCACCAACTCGACGTGCGCGCCGGCGCCCACTCCGACTACGGGAGCATCACCCTCCTCTTCCAACGCCCGGGCCAACCGGGGCTGGAGATCTTGACCCCGGAGAAAACCTGGGCGCCGGTGCCGGTCCTCCCCAACAGTGCCAGCAGCAGCAGCACCACCAGCATTCCTGAAAACAACAACGCAGAAGACGAAGAAGAATTCATCTTCCCCCCCATCCTCATCAACATCGGCGACCTCCTCAGCTACTGGACCGACGGACTGCTCAAATCCACCGTCCACCGGGTGGTCTTCCCGGTTGCGGAGCAACAAGCCCCCAAACCGCGGGATCGGTATAGTGTCGTGTTCTTCTGTCATCCGTTGGATCGGACGGAGTTGGTGCCCGTGCCTAGCGAGACGGTGAGGCGGTATCGTGAGAGCAAGAAGGAGGGGACGGCCGACGAGAAGATCGGGTTTGGGGGTGGGGCGGGGGCGTTGGAGCCGGGGAGGAGGGCGATGACGGCGCATGAGCATTTGATGGCGAGGTTGGGGGCGACGTATCAGTTTGAGGGGGGGAAGGAGTAGGTTCGTTTGGATGGATTGGTGGGGAGATGAGATTGAAGGGTAGGGGGGATTGGAGAAGGGTGGGTTGAGAACGTGATACAGATGTCAAGGATGTAGCTCAGGTTTATCAAACTGTTTGTAGACCAGACTCATTCATAGGCAAAAGATGCTGGATTACTATCTTAAATGGTCCGTCTCCTCTTGTGTGCGAAGTCACAGCAGAACCAGACCAGACCAACAAGAAATCAAACAGTCACAAGGAAATCCTTAGCCAAATCGAATAGCTAGGAGTTTTACGGCCAATCGCCAGACACAAAGAGTGGATCGTATGCACAGAAGTTCCTCCAATTTCCTTTCCCAAAGGAAACCATACTCAAGGAAATGCCATGAGAGATAGAACTATCACTGCTCGGGGTGGGACCCACAAGACCACAATAACAAAATTCCAAGGCTGCATCGATGGTCACCACACCCAAAGTCCTAGACTAGGACCATCGATGAGAGGAATAACAAAACCACGGAGCGTCAACGGCGAGACAAACGCTCCAGAGCAAACAACAGTGGACATGGATCACAATGCTAGATAAAATAAGATAAAGGCTACTCACAAATGAAAATCGTCTGGCATCGAGACAGTAGCGGGCTAGCTGCTCAGATGTGATTCAAAGAAAACAAAACCCGGAGAAAACCCACTCACACAATTAACAAGACTTTCATAACCGCTGAAGAAATTCCATATGACTGAGGTCCAGACACTGGGCCTGGCTTTAATGAAACATGTTGAAAGGAAAAAGGAAGAAACAGAGGTATCTTTAGACTGGAAGAGGAACGCCACCGGATTCGGGAATGCCATGCACGGGGGGGAGACGTGAAACCTTGGGAAACGGACCGAAGAAAAGACAAACGGGACCAGATGACAGATACGACGCTATGCAAGCCGATATGCATTATGTGTATTAGGCAAGTTTCATCCGTTCAGATCAAGGGTTGGTGTGACACCAATGACGATGACTGATCCAAGCCGCCTTCTGACAGTCTTTGCTGCAGTACTTGGTGCGACGGCAGCGGCGACATTTGGCAAACTGCCGCTGATATTCTTCCCACTTGCCGCACTTCCAGTAGGCGCATTGCCGGATGCCACCCTGGGCCTCATCCTTGCGGCAGAGGTTTCTCATGACCACGCAGGCCCAATATTGCATATCCTTCGAGTGATGACGGATGGTAAAGTGCTCCACCAGAGGGAAGATATTGACATCGTCCGGCTGCAAGTACTCCTCGTCCTCATCATCGAGGGGTTCGATGGGGGACATACCGCCATCGAGAACCTTGAGCTCACGATCGACCCGAAGCTTTGGGACAAAGTGGGTGTTCTGAAAGTAAGAACGGAGACTGCAATACTTGGAGACATATGCGAGGAGCTGAAGAGCCATCAAGACATCCTCGTCGCGGGGCATAGTCGTCGCCGTAGTCTGGTTAGCGAGACGTTCGCGGATGTATGACGAATAGGGAGTCGGCACAGGAACAGGGGAGTTGGCATTTTCAGGAGCCTGAGTAGGTGATAACCCATTTGTCTGCGCCTCATTGTTCTCAATCATGCTTCGATCAACAGCCGACCGATGTGCGATGTTGAATGTGTCAGCTTCTTGTCCTTCCGACGAGTCGTTGACCGTCAGATCATGGGCATTCGAGACTTCCCCAAGCACGGATTGTCTATCGCCAACATCATCTATCTCCATCCGGTTCTCCATGCCGATCATCGGGTCGGTGATCTCGCTTCCCACTTCGTCGCCCATCGCGGAACTATGTCCAGAGCCGACGGTGGAGCCGACGGTGGATTCTTCGCCATTGGCAATGTCGGAATCGCCCGAGACTGATTGTTGTTGTAACAAAGTGGGACGCGACCGTAGTCCGTGCGGGTGAATATGGCTTCGCAGCTGCGTAGGACCACTGGGGGTGGTAGGGGAGTCAGGCTGAGATATTAGCCCGTTTTGTAGGCCTGGAAGCATGCTAGGAAGTCTCTCGGCGTCACGCACCGGGCGCAAACCGAAGCCGTCGGCAGTGTCCATAGCCGCCGCGGTGGACAGAGGCTGCATCACAAGGTGGCGGTGAGCGTTATGAGCATGACGAGGATTATCCTCGATCGCGAGGCTCCGTCGCTCTGGGAGAGTGGCCATGGGCGCACGAGGGGAAGACGCTATGTCCATAGTGTTGGTATCTGTATTGTTGGCTTGGTAGTGAGGAGGGATTTCGATGTGAGGAGGAGGCGCCTGGCGACGGGATGGACGGTGTTCGGTGTTTGTAGACTGGTCGACATAGAGTGGACGAGTAGGAAGACTGGCGGTGGGCCCGTGGATGGCTTTCAGGGGGTTTCTGGACGAGTGCCGACTACTCTCACTCTCAGCTCGGGCGCGAGCCTTTTCGATCATCTTGATATAATTGTCTAGCACGGTCGCAACCACTGGTACGATGTCGGCCTCGACCACTCTGGTTCGCACACTCTCCGAGCCTCTCACTCCGATGTTAACAACACATTGAAAAGCGAGGCTCCACTTCCAACAATCCATCAAATCCTTCGTCCGGCCCTCTTTGAGGATGCATACCAGGCGTTCAACACCGCCATCGATGGTGAGGATATCGCGAATGCGGGCGGATGAAGTTGTGAGGTAAGCTAGATGGTTGAGCGAGTTGACCAGCGGGAGGGTAGATGTACAGTCGAGAGCACGCCGATCGTAGAGTGTGGTTGTGATGTTGACGGAGGCCTTATTGACATTCGGGATGCTGAAATTGACCTCCCGCATGATGGGCGAGAGGGTGAAGCGGGATGTGACTATCGGTCGGTCAAGACGAGAATCGGATGAGAATTCGGATTAGGGCGTTTTGTTCAAAGCCCGACGACGAGATGTGATGAATCGATTAATACGGTGACCTCAAGCAGCAGAGTCGATGGGATTAAAACGTAGTCATGAGATTATGGTGAATTATGTACTGCAAGGGCCGACCAAGACGCTCGAACGGTAGTTGACGAGAGGCGAGATAGGAGAAAGGATCGTAGAGCGATTTGATGGCAAACGTCGTAAGAGGGTAGTTGCGTTCGAAGCCAAGACCGTGGGTCAGAGTCTGACGGCCACGAAGATTCACGGAACGAAGGAAAGGTTCGGTGAGGACCCAGGTGATGCTTAAAGATTTTCCGGGTGGAAGGAGAGACAACCTATGCCCAACAGGGTAGGGTGAAAGGGGGTATCGGGTGTTGGGTGGGTGAGTGGGGAGTATTGGTATGGAGGTTTGTTGAAGCGACACAGGCACGGGAAATGCTGAGAGGGATTTGTTGTTGATGGAGACAAGCGACGACGGGGAGGAGAGAAGGAGGAGAGAAGGGAATGAGTCTAAAAAGAGGAGGAAGAATTGGGGGGGGGGGGTGGGAAATCGTTCGAGTGAGAGTAGAAGGGGATCCCAAAAGGAGGAGTCGAACAGGAAGAAGAGGAGGAGGAGAAGGAGGAGGAGGAGTGAGTGATTGAGTGAGAGAGAGCGAGAGAAGGGACTTGAAAGCGAAAGCGGAGAGAGTGAGCGAGGAGAGGAGAGAGAGAGGAGAGAGTCAGGCGGTTTCGTCTTCAGGCTTTTTGGCCCGCCACCCTTTCTTTGCCTCTTCTTCTCCAACGGATGCTGCTACCTAATCCGACTATGAACAAGTCGAGTCGATTCGACTTTCTCCTTAATAATATTAAACCCTTCGATATCGTTCCACTGGTTGTTGGATACAAAGTATACTATTGAAAGATGATTTCTACGATCCCTCGACTTTCTTCAGCCAACTCCGGTACTTTAATTCGGGCGAGTAACACACTCTTAATAATAAAAAAGAAAACAATCGATCAACCTTCTCTTTCTTTTGCCACTGGCAGGCTCCGACAATCAATAACAACACGGACCGCTCCCCTCCCCTCTCCTCAAATATCAAAATCTACATATGAGTATTATAGTAATAAAGACGAAGGACGAAGATCTTTTTGCTTCCTCCTCCTAAACAATTCCTTTATGACTTAACTTAAGCTTGCCCCGGTTGCCCGCCCTGCCGTCCCTTTCCTCCTGACCACGCATTGGGATGGAATGTTCACAGAGTCCTCATTTCCCTGAACAAGCGGAGTCCGCCGCAGATCCAAGAGCAAAGATCATCTGGCGCACCTACCATCGGACTTGACTACTGCTTCGGATGGGAAAATGACTAGCAGGGCGCAATAGTTTTCAGATAGTGGTTTGATCATGATGCTGGTTCGCTTCTACTCGCTTCTTGTTCCCTGCTTTCTTTTCTTCAGTAGTAATCCCCACGGCACTGCGAAACATACCCCCTGGTTTTCCAGCAACATTCAGGTATTTTGGTCCCTACGATCCCGTTGAAGTTTACGGAGTATGTATCCATCGGGGGGGAAGGAAGGAGAGGGGAAGAGGGGGCTTGAGCCTCGATATGGGAAGGGGACCCGGAGATCACTTGTCGACCTACCGGTAGTTTACTTACTTTAAACTATCAGGGTAGTGGTACCGGACAGGCAGACAGAACTATGGATCTCCGATCGTACGTATATGGAGTAGACATGTTGACACCTATTGACATGGACATATCATATCCGCTGCCTTTCCCCGATCATAGGCATAAGTTCTCTCTCAGTCACCGAACCCACCATTCTTCAGCTCCAGAGTTTCACCACCACCCTTATCTATTCCTCCTTGACGCTGACGGATGACCCGATTTCAACATGCTTCATACCTCCCTCCTTCCGATGATGGAATAGACATTGAACCGCGATAGGGCCCTCATCTACTATGCATAAACACCCACATGCACGCTATATTTAGAACTGCATCTCCAGCCCACCCCGACCCCTGTCCTGTCACCTCGACCTGGATTACTACATACAAAGGGACCCCCAAACGACATCTTCCTCCGAGCTCGGTCTCCATTCACAGGTGTACCGTACCAATGGGTTTAACTCTCACCGTGCCGAAGTCAATAACAACACCAACAACAACTTAAATCGGATCAGCTCTAGGTGCAGTCCTCAGTCAATCTAAACCACCCTATCATGACTGAAAGATGTGTCTGGACTAAGGTCATCCTGCCCGTGATCCCAGTGTTACCCCTCAATCAGCTGCCAAACCAATTCGCACGGACGTCACAGTTCTACAAAGTACAAGTTTAAAAAGTAATCATGTACAGGTACTTGGAATCTATAATCTAGTCTAGTCACTCGTTAGTGAACAAGGTACCTAGTTCTATGATTAGAAACTCCGTGCCCTTCTTCCCCCTCTCCTTCCCGTCCTCCCGCTGGGCTGGCGGCGGCGGCGTTGCCTTCTTTTGCCTCTAGAGGCGCGAACCGCTGCCGTTAAACCCGATCACCTTGACCAAAAAAAAACCTGGCTTGGTTTAACCGCCATCGCGGTCGGGGGGTCGGGGGATGAGGTTCCCAGATACACTCACATTGCATTACGCGCTTGATCGATTTTGAATTGATCCATGTACCTGTACCCCGACTTTGAGTTATGATAGGGCTTTGCTTCTCGTTTCAAGTTTGATTGATATCACCTTCGAGATGTGCTTCATTCGAGGCTATATATAGCACATTTAAGCGCGGAGGCGTTTCTAGAAGGATATTCTTGCCTCTATGCATATGTTTCAGGACGAGAGTCTCAGATTCGACTTCCTTGACACGAGGGTTATTATTCGTGGTGCAAGTAGATCCTTGGGCGGAAAGTAATCGTGTACTCTCTGTGGAAGTGTCGAGAACGTGAGGGCGCAGGCGGCAAGTCCCCTGACTCGACTGACGTAGGTGAAAGTTATCGCCCGCGTGCGGATAAGGAGCGACACACTCCAGTATATGTACATATGCCCAATGCACACAAAACCTGGAACCCTTGGGATGAGCGATTAGACGTAAGCTATGACAGAAGAGATGGTTGATGATCGCGGAAATTCTGTAGCCATCTGCTCTGCACATAAACACACACCTTGTAGGTTGCAGCTCAGACACCATCGCGTGTAGATCTATTAAGCACGGAGATGCAAACGATCGTATTAGAGCCAATGTTGAGCTGCCAATCTCGGCAGGGCTTGGAATCCTTCCACCGCAGGAAGCCTGGTCTAGGCAGTGGGAATGGTAGATGTGGCTCGACAGCCGCAGCGCGGATTCAAGGATATGCACCCTACCCGACATTGTAATCGCGCCAATCGTGCCTCATACTTGGGGCTTACCGAGGCTGACGTGCATTTATCCAAATGATCCCTAGGTATCCAAGCGGACAGATTCCCTTGACCTGCCAATGGGAAGGGATGCATTGGTTGGCTCACTGCCAATGCATCTTGATGTAAAAGGAAACAGTTCCCAAAGTCCAGAGGCGGAAGACTCGGTGGCTAGTCTCTTGTGCTATAGATTTATAATCTTTGCGATGTACGAAGTACAGAATTCAAGAGTGGGGGCGATTGCAGCAAATAATTGCATATCCGATAACTCCGCGACACACCCGCCTGTCGACTTGCTGGGAAGAAGCTGTCAAATCCGGAACATTTGACATGATCAACCGGACACCGTTATCATCAGGCGAGAGAGAATCCGATGACAATTCACCCGTAAGCAGAATTGTACACAGTAGTCCTTCACAAGTCGCAAAATGTAGGTGTAGTTACTCGTACGAGTAGTTGTTTCGTTAGCTCATTAGGGGCGACCCGATTAGTAAGCGTGATAAATGAAGGTCTTTTGGCAAAGAGGGACAGCCGAGTAGTTAGTCAGGCACGGTTTCAAGCGATCATCCTAACAGTGGAGCCACTTTCTCCAGATAGACGATAAATACAACGAATAACCACAACAGTTTGTCAGTTACGCTCTTACCCAGCCCGCACCTGCGAAATATTGGACCGAAACAGGTAGTGGCCAATTTCCCTGCGGCCTGGTGACCCGCCGCAACGCACATTGACCATCAGTGTCGCGGATCCCGCTCCATTATTTCTGCCTGCTACCGACGTATGTAAGAGGTGGCAGATATCTGGGCAGTGAGCAAGACGATACGAAAGACACGTAACAGCGATCATGGATGACCGAATCGAGGTCCTAGCAAATGAGGAGGTCAATTGAGAGTACTCAGGATCAACTCTGAAAAAAGAGGAATCGGGATTCTGTAATATTTTTGGCGCATGTGGATATTATCATCACGGAAACTTCAAATTAAACAACCAGTAGCCTTGCTCGACGCAACGACAAGAGTTGGTCAGTAATTAGCCACAGTCCCTAGTAAGTCTTTGGTCAGAAAACTTCGGGAGGGATTCTGATGAGTGAACCACCTTCTAGAAATCCAAGGGTCAAATCAAAAGAAGAGACAGATAATGCAGACTGTTATGACTTGTTGAAGGATGATGGCCATCTCTACAGTACAAATTAGGTGCAGTATGCATAATACATCAGTAGTTCAGAAGTATCCGCAAGCGTTCGGATTCACGGGACAGCCGGGATGGAGAACGTCCTGCACGGAAGGCACCAAGGATGGGCCATTCTACTCCCCGGCCCCCCAGTCTTCGGGTCCAGGGACCCCCCAGCCTCGACGGAAAATGATGAAGATCTCTAAGTGACGGAACATCAATCTTAGAGTCCGTGGCCGCATCAGACTTCAGTTCGGATCTTCCCTTGCAGTTTCTAATCCGGGAGTTCCACGGACTCGATTAATTCTCAGGTTCCAAAGAACAACCAATCCATCATCGGAGATTCGGGTAGTCTAGTCATCTACTGTTAGTCAAGGAATCGAAGAAATTTGGAACAAGCAGAGAGATAATAATATAGAGATGGAAAAGTCTAATCGAGTAGACTAACCTAGTTCGGTCCTAGGGACTTCCCAATGGTATTTCACCGCGCTGAATTCTTGGTAGGTATGATTGATACCAGTAGGTACCACTGAGCCAGGTACCACCCGTAATGTCCGAAGCCCCTGGATGTGAGATTTGATCACGACTCTCGGCATCAGGTGATACTTCCCAACGTGGTCCTTCTCGAATGCGGATGCTTATTTCCATCAAGAGACAGCTCTGGAATTATGCTTTAACAGAGCACAAAAGGGATCGCCACTCCCGAGGCTCGTCAACCTAGGTGCATTGTGTATTGATGTGGACTGTACTGTACACTTCCGAGAGACTCGTCGGAGCAGGAAACCCTGACTCGTGCGAAGCATGGATGGATCTGCCTCGCCTCATAGTACGGTTAATTTTACCGGCAATGTGGAAGAATGGTTGCGCACGTCAACCTGCCTTCAGCGAGTTTATGAATCGTGATGTAGACAGGAGCCTGTTCAGTATCTGGACAAACGGCGTAGAATACCATAGTCAGAGGCTTTAAGCGTCTATGGCAAGCCTAAGACTGTCTTACCATCCACATCATCTTCTGTGCAAGTTCTGGCGACTAAATACTGGATGGGGATCAAACATGACGCCTTGCCATTCGCGATCCGGAGAATCAATTCCTGCCAACACAATGCTTTCTTCCAAGGGACACGCTCAACTCTCTTTTTCTCTCTAATCATTTCTTAATCTTCTTGTCTTTCTTTCACTATCCCGCACTGCATTGTTGGTCTCCGCGTCTGCTTGCTGTCGCGTCCTGCACATCCTCCACTTGGCGAGCAGTTGTGAGCTATGGGCCAACCAGAAGAGACTCAGCAGGCCTGACTCCACCGGCCTGACCAGGGTGCACCTCCTTAGTGTTCAATGAACTCCTCCACGGAACTTGGTACCTTGCCCTCAGCGGAGAAGTTACCGTCCTAGACTAGACTGGGATGTGGGAGTTCTCCCCTGAAAGCCTGGAATCAATTACCCTAGGCGTAAGCAACCGTATCATACGTCTTGTACCGCCTCTGCCTGATGACCTAGTTGACTCGTAAACAACATTTTACGGGGCTGTGGTCCAATGATGGAGTGTCCTGCTAATCCAGGATGTCGGGGTGGTATGGTTGCGTAAGATTAGATCAGTTATCAGTATCGTATATACAGTACGAATACTGTACACACGGTAGTGCTAGACGGAAAGTTCACCAGCAGGCAGGAAGAGGCTCTCTTTTAGAGTCCCGCCTGTATCTCCGTCGTACGTACAGGACCTATTGTCGCCCAGCTTCCCCTAACCGGCTGGTTCTTTATTATGCATCACCAGAAAGATGGACACAGTTCCCATTGTTCTCACTTTTTTTTCCCCGGTGGAAGGATCATCTCTTACCCAATACGTATATTGACATACATCTTTACTTACTTACTTTCTTTTTACTGACTATACATATACATATACATCATACATGTAGAATTGTATTCCGTAGACACAGTGGTGGTTAGAGGAGGTGTAACTACCTGGTCCAGGCCAGCTCAACCCCAATAGTTTCCCTACTATACATTCTTATCATTGGTGCTCTTTCTTACCACGGGCTGCTATTGATGACAGACAGGACATGACCGAGTTGCTTCTACCGTCTGCCACTAACTTGAACTTACTTCACTACTACTAACCTACTACTAACTAAGGTACTAAGTTACTGTCCGTCATCTGTGCTTTTGGGGGGGTGGGATTTTCTGCATCCTTCTCCGTCTTCGCCTTTCCCTCTCTTGTCTCTGGTTCCAGTTCCCCTTTTCTCTCTCAATTTCAACACGGAGAGTCGACTTTCTTCACTTTCTCTCTTCCACTTTCTCCTTTGATTCCTAATCACCATTCGGGCCATTTTCTTCCTCTCTTCTATCCTCTCTCTTTTCCACCACCCCTGCTGACTTAAACGCCCGAACCACCTCACCATTGCCCCGGGTCGAAACTTTCTTTCGCTCGGTCGCTTCCGCCGTGTGCTCGCTCCACACCCAATCAACCCCCCTCCTCGTTCTCCCTCTCACTCACTCTCTCTCTCTCTCTCTTCCACTCCTCTTACTCCTCCTCTTCCCTCCTCCTGCCGACCTTGCTTGTTACCACCACGACCACCACCGACTACCTCACCACTCCACTAATCCATCTTTTCTCTCGTTCTCTCTCTTCTAGCGCCCTTTATCGCTCGCGCCTCTCCCCCCCTCTCCCCCCCCCTCCCTCCTCCCCTCCTTCCTCGATCATCTCAAACGTCCCCTGGATTTTCCAACGCCCGCCTCGGCCAACTCAATTCCACTCTTTAGACCCGTTTCGTCATCCCATTGACACCCACCCTCTCCAGGGGCTTGTTTGGTCAAGATGGCAGCCGATATGAGCGGCGAACAGATGCAGGCCAAGATCACTGCGGCCCGGCGCGAAGCCGAGGGTCTCAAGGACAAGATCAAGCGCAGAAAGGATGAGCTGGCAGACACCACTCGTACGCATCCCTCTCCCTCACAGACGTCGCTGTCCCTGATCGGGTGACCCGATCTGAAAGCTCACGAAGGGCGCAACCTGTACCATGCCATGCCTCTCGGATACTAATTACGGTAAAACAGTCCGCCAAGTGGCGCAAAACCAGACCGAAACTCTACCTCGCATTGGAATGAAGCCCCGTCGAACGCTCAAGGGCCACTTGGCTAAGATCTACGCTATGCATTGGTCGACTGATCGCCGCCACCTCGTTTCCGCCTCACAGGACGGAAAGCTCATTATCTGGGATGCCTACACCACGAACAAGGTCCATGCGATTCCCTTGCGGTCATCATGGGTGATGACTTGCGCTTACGCCCCCAGCGGAAACTACGTTGCTTGCGGTGGTCTGGATAACATTTGCTCCATTTACAACCTCTCCTCGCGTGAAGGGCCGACTCGGGTCGCGCGTGAGCTCTCCGGACACTCGGGTTATCTCTCTTGCTGTCGCTTCATCAACGATCGCCGTATCATCACTTCCTCGGGAGATATGACTTGTATGCTGTGGGATATTGAGTCGGGTTCTAAGGTGACCGAATTCGCCGACCACCTGGGCGACGTCATGTCGATCAGCATCAACCCCACCAACCAGAACATTTTTGTTTCCGGTGCCTGCGACGCCTTCGCCAAGCTCTGGGATATCCGTACCGGAAAGGCCGTTCAGACCTTCGCTGGACACGAGTCCGACATCAATGCCATTCAATTCTTCCCCGATGGAAACGCCTTCGGAACCGGTTCCGACGATACCTCTTGCCGTCTGTTCGATATCCGCGCGGATCGGGAATTGAACACCTACCAGGTATTTCATTTTCCATTTCTGCCATGGCCGAAGCGGACACTAACGCAAATTCCAGAGCGATCAAATATTGTGCGGTATCACGTCTGTTGCATTTTCTGTGTCCGGTAGACTGCTCTTCGCTGGTTACGATGATTTCGAGTGCAAGGTACGTCTTACATCCAGGTTGAATTCACTCTCGAATGGTTGATTAATGAGGCCGGTAGGTCTGGGATGTTCTGCGTGGTGATAAGGTTGGCTCTTTGAGCGGCCACGAGAACCGTGTGAGCTGCTTGGGAGTCAGCAACGATGGCATCAGCTTGTGCACCGGATCTTGGGATTCCTTGGTAAGTCGCTCCGTTGGTCCCCACTGATGGGATACAAGTTACTGAGACATTTCATCCTGCAGCTCAAGGTGTGGGCCTGGTAAACCGAGAAAACGAACAAAAAAAAACAGCAAAGATACCCTGTCTCAAGTCTTTCGTGACGTCCTCATTCGAAGTTTCCTTAATCATTTTCTGCGCCACTAGGTTCCATGTCCGCCACTGTACGATAATCTTTCATTCACTGAGGAGCAATTTAGTGCCGCGCCTGCTTAATGCACTAGTCGGATCGCAGGCGCAGTTACAAGAAGCGAAAATCAAGGGGCAGTCAGGGTGGCAGACATACCGCAATGGGTGTTGTCGTCACTCGTTGGCTACTGCAGGTGTGTGAGGAGGACAACCGGACGGCAGACAAGACACACACACACACACAACTACGAAAAACCACAATACTCGGATACGGGTGCGGTGAACTGTAATAATGCTGTTGATAATTGGGATTCTGGAGGGGTTGTTACGCTTCAGTGCGACGATGGTCTCAAATATGGCCCATCACCAAGATTTGATTTGCAGGCATTCTGATTCTTTTTCTCGTCACCTTCTCCGTCTTATTCCCCTTGTTCCAACCACTCTGGTGACGTTTTCATTTGTCCTTTACCCTTGATGTTCCGAATTTTCTTGGTGCAGTCTCTCCGCATCGATTTCCCCTGTGCTTCTGAACCCTTTTTCCCTTCTTACGCATTGATCTCCTTGCCTTGGGTGATGGCTGGAAAAGGAGGGGATACTTTTTTTCTTTCTTTTTTCCCCCGGATAGGCCATGACGGTTTTGATTGATTGCGAATCGTGTGTTTCTTTTTCTTATACTAATTAACCTACATAGTTTCCGAACGTTTGAGTGTTTTCCAGCGGGTTCTTGTCTTGTGTCGCCGAGCGGATGGGATGGAATGTAATCCGCCGCCAAAATCTTGTGCTTTGATATGCCTTGCCTATTTCAAAAATGTTTTTCCCCCCATGACAGGGTTTGATGCCGGCACTCGTGTACGGCTTCTTTTGAGGCACAGCCAGACCAAGCTGGTAGGCAGCCACTAACTCCTCGTACAAATGACAAATCAATGGCCCTTGTTTCTGGAGATGTTTCGTAACCGACCACCCAATCCCTCGGACGTGGTCATTGGACGTGGTCGAAAGCCATGGAATAGGCTGAACACGGAGTGACGCGGAACAACGTAACGCAAAGGCGAAGCGAAGAGAAAGACTGTCGATGATGGCGTCAACGGTGCGACGCAAAGACAGACAGATATGTTTGATCAGTTTCGTTTTGCAGTCATCTACAGTACATCCACCGTGGACCCTAGTAGTACGCTTACTTCCAAACGGAGTGATATCATCCCATCTCAGGCGCAGCTTATATCGCGCCGCCCCAAATGGAGACATCTTCCGAGTCGACCCTCTAAACCGGTTCCCACCGAGTGGATCCTGAGGCCGGGCAACAAACAGAAACGAAAACGAGGAGTTCGAGATCATTGGGAAGTTCGGTTCTGACTCCGGATTCAAACGCTCGGAGTTCGGCTCTCCACTGTAGTGGTCTCCTCGCAGCAGGGATCATGAGATCGGAATTCTCCGAATTCGGATGAACTGCCTGCATAGGTATCTGGGAAAGGGGGGATCGGGCAATCTATGGATCTTGCCCAAATTGCGGAAGAAGGGAAGGCAGGAGGAGCCACACCTTATCCATGGATCGGGAGTTAGATGGCAATCTGGAACGGTTTTACCGCGGGGGGGGGGGGGGATGAACCGAAGCTTGACTCTGAAGTGGAGGAGGGGGGGAAGGTGTTTTGCCCCCATCGTTTTG